AATGAGTAATATTTTTGTTGTGACGCACATTACTTATTAAAATATTACCGTGTTAAATCATTATTGAAATATGTATATTTTAAGGGAGTTGCATTGCATGAAATGTTTTATTCTGTTCAATTTTCTATGGCCTTTGTGCTCTTTCTGTAAATAAATAATTGTTCTTCAACTTTTGTAATCTCTGATTTAAAAATTATGGACCTTTTTCGAATACTGAGTGAAATTTCGGACACAGTCTTGAAGCCAGGATTATCCAAATCAGTCTCAGATGTCTGATAACCCTATGCGTGATCTTAGCAACAAATAACCAATCTTGCATTTTGTGATGTATGCCGAGATCCTTTCACCCTGTTATAGTTTACAAATATACGTTCAATCGAAAATTTCAGCATTCGTTTCTTAACCCTACGTTAGGTGCATACGTTTGTGTTGAACAGTTAACCTAACTATTAAACCTATTAAAATGTATCTAGAATAAGGAAAATCATTTTTTGATTCTGCCGCCGCAATAAATACCAACAGTTAAATACTACTGAAACACAGGTGATGCCGCTTGCTGCTACCAACACAGCTAACTGGAAAGGTGCGACTCAAAATCAACACACAGCGTTGCAAACTTGCAACAAATATCACTGGGGGGCACCTGTGATCCACACAGTTTATATAGGGTTAACTAGGAATTTACAAATCAGCTCTGTTGGGATGCGATCCATCGTTCCCAACTTCGAAATATGCGAAGGACATAAAAACCGAAGTATAAAAGTATTTACTCAAAGGATAACAGTTTCTCAGAAACTCATGTATCTAAGAGTGCTCAAGTGTAAAATGAGAGGTGGTGACATTCATTGAAAATGCTAATTTACTAATAAATTTAGTAATATTACTAATAAAATACTAATAAATTTACTAAGCAGTTCAAAAATTTGCTGTTTTCAGTTTAAACTCGATGAAATTACTTCAAGAACGACTTGAAATATTACTTAGTGCATGTCGATGCAAAATAATATAGTTGCTTGGAATTTAATAATCAAGAAATTAATCAGTTTTAATGAGTTATGAAATTCGTGCATTGAGAAAAGTGTAGGGTTTGTGCTTGGTTGAATTTTTCTTTGATATATTCATTTGTAGCTATTTTGTAGCTTAGAACTTCTTTCAATTCTGAAATACAGTTCCCCCCCCCAATATGTTGTAGTCTGTACGGTGGGGGAGGGGAGCTTACTATTAATTATTTTGCTCACAAAACAGTAAACGAAATGTGTATTAATGTGCACCTTAATAGCATTATGTTTTTACTAAAAAGCTCTCACTTTTTTTTAATTCTGTAATTTCCACGTTACATAGAAAAAAAGAAAATGTTTAATTGCTGCAATTAAGTAGGTGTAAACAATTTCTTACATGCAATTTTATCACAATTTTTCCAAATTGTTCATTCAAATTCCTTAGCAGTGCGCGGAAGCGTTTGAAATATCGTTTACTTACGAATGTACTTGCTGCTGTCTGAGGCGAATATGTTCAACACTGCAGAGTAAAAAATTGAGCTGAAGAGTTTAATGAATGTATGATAATTGTAACTAGGCGCGCCCATGGACTTTCAGTTGGCCCATCCGTGACCCTGTGCTGCTTCCATTGAGGCGAATATGTTCAACACTGCAGAGTAAAAAATTGAGCTGAAGAGTTTAATGAATGTATGATAATTGTAACTAGGCGCGCTCATGGGCTTTCAGTTGGCCCATCCGTGACCCTGTGCTGCTTCCATGTTTTTATTTGAGTTGAAAGAGTGTAACTTGGCCTTGTAGACGCCGCACTGCAATGTCATTTTCTGGCAAAGTCAATTTTACCGAAACGATGACTTCTACGTAAACGACATTCTATTTTTATAGGATATCCATATTCAAAGATTCGGTATATGTAAAGCGATGGTGGATATTGTGTATAGTCATTACTAGATATTCTCTCGTATCTGAATAAATTGATATTTCGCAAATTGCAATCCCGCCGGAAAAGAATAAAATAAAATTCCGGTCTTGCGGCGTACAATCGAGAACTCATTTTGGGAACAGGAGTTCAACTTAAATTCCTCTCACGTATAGGCAACACGTGACCTTGCGCAGGATAGCCATGCTGCATATCAATATTCCGGTTCAAACTGGTCTGGCCTGGCTACTGCCTTTTATTATTTTATTAGTTATTTTCTTCTTTATATCGTTAAATTTGTCAGGTCATTTTTCTATCTGTGGTGATTCAGAAGAAAAAACAAAGTGAGAGAGATTTTAAATTTAAGGCGCCAAGAAGTTATACGCAAGAACTTGTTTTCCTCTGTACGAGAAAATCCGTCTTTATTGCGCAACTTCAAAAACTAGCAATAATTTGAATTAAAACCATATGTTATATGAATTTCCAATAGAATTATGTTAGTCCTAATGCCTGCAAACGACTTCGTTTTGTTGTGTATATCTGTTTCATATACAGAAGAAATTACTATGTGTCATTTTATCAACTGCAAGTGATTAAAGATGCTAAGAGGGTGGTAATAAAGTAGATCATGTGCAAGTGAAGTTTTATCAAATAAACAAATGGCGAGTTTTCTCTCATGATGAAATAGGATTTTTTTTGGGGGGGGGAGAGGAGTATGCCCGATTTTTTTTTTTTTTTTTTTTTTTTTTTAAAGGTTCGGCATACAGTATAATACCATTGAATTGTCATGGCGGAAAGTAGAATCTTTTACCAGTGAATGCAAAAAAAGTCACTTTGATTCTTTTGTCAGTTGTAGATTTCCCGAAAAGTAAATAAACTGTTAAAAACAGAAGCATCAAAGCTGCCAATAAATTGTTCTAAAAAAAAATCGTAAGTAACGTCATGCAGTTCATACCGAGTTAATTTTTGCCATTTTGCGAAAAGATTGATCAATTGACTTTATCTCTATATACAGTATATCTTATTGACTGTATACTGTTCGTTTCCATCATGCTTTTTTTTTAACTTAATCAGTGAAATGTTAACAATATTGAATGAAAATGAAATATTAGTTTAACAGTTTTAAAAAAGGTAATTTTAATACGAATTTTTAAAAATATTTTGCGGTTGCATATGCATATTTTCTTCTCGAAATAACCTCACCCGTAGTGGTTCTGATAAGTGGGGCTCCTGTGTAGCTGCTAGATCACGTGTACAATAGAATTTTGCTTGCAGCAACCATTTAATGAGTAGTATATTCCGAAATGTTGAATTCTTGTGATCATTAAGAAAATTTTTAAGTGACTACTATTTAGAAATGTGAATTTGGCATTCATGCCTTGCCGAATTTATTAATTGTTGAAACTTGGCCCACTGAGGACTTATAAATAGGTGATTATTTTGAAATCGGGACAGAGCAGATGGAGAATTCTTATCTTGTATTTAAAGATAAGTTCACTTGTAACAGAAGTGTTGCTTGCTGCTACTTCCATTTCATTCATCATATTTAAATGAGAATGAAAGTATGAAACAGAATTTTCTAACATAAATATAAGTCGCAATGATTTAAAACAACGCATTTCCTTAGAATTGTCATGGCAGCAGAGTTTAATGAAGTGTAAGAAACGTTATTCTCTGAAGTGTGGCGAGTCAGTATGTGTGAGATACTCTCATACACTGGAGTTGTCGATTCATGCCCTAAATAAAGACAGGTTTGGAATTCAGTGTTCGGAGAACAGGAACAGAGTCTAGAACGCCAAAAAATGAAACTAATCTCCTACAAGACCTCCAGATATTCTCCCCTTGGCGTCTTCTGTGAATTTACGATTGTCAGCATTCCCTGTTAAAACTGCTGTCACTTTCTTGTAACATGCCTTTAATACGTCATCGTAGTGAACTTATAACGTTCCTTCAGTCGGCAACTCGTCAATCGCCGCTGTAGTTATTTGAATGTTCCCTTCTTAAGAATTTGGGGATAAAAAAGCAGTTTTATCTCCCGATAGATTTATGCTAGCGTTCATCAGTGGTGGGAGGGGAGAAAGGCCTAACTGGCGTGCAACGTCCAAGGACAGGCTGTATCGCAGTCCGTTGATTTGTGAAAGCTTTTCTTAAAGGGCTTTATCGCTGTGGCAGTGAACTTTGACACTCGCTATCTTGGTCACTTGCGAGTAGCAAATGGGTCGCATCCCGTTACCTGATCCTTTCAATCCTTTATGGCTCGGCGACCACTTGCCAAAGTGCCGTGGAAGTATAAAACAGCTTCTTCCTCGCCATTCCAATTTTCCAGTGGGCTTTGTTCCTCGGAAGGTCCGTCAAAGTGAATATGTAGTTTTTAAGTGGCTTACAATTAATCTTGAGTGGACCTCCTGATAATAATTCCATGATAACGGTCACGCCGAATGATGTTATAGCGCTGTTGTACTTGGTGAATTAATTGTGATTTATGTGTGTAACCCTTTGAAAGTGCATGCCTTTTGTGAATTTTAAAGATGAGAACACTTCCCACTTTTTGCTTACTTTGATGGATGTTTTACTCTGTGCATTTAGGTAGAGGTATTATATATAGGAATTAAGTTTGTGATTTAAAATTTGCATCTCTTGATGATCAAACTTTTGGATTAAATTAATTTTGACATGCGTTAGTAACATTTTAATGAGCAGTTTTCACAGTTACGATTTTTTTTTTTAAATTGTCTGAAAAAAATTTGTTGAATTGAAGAATATTATTTCAAGCTGTATGCCAATAGCTTTATTGATTTTTTTTTTTTTTTTAAGTTTTAATTTTAAAAAGTTTTATTAAAATTTGCAGTGAGTTTTTATAATGAAATAAAAATATAATTTGGATATTGTAATTTCCGTTTTTGGAAAGCTTAAATTTATGGAATCCATATTCATTTATTAGTAGTTAATGAGCTAGAATTAATAGTTTATAGCTTTTATATTTCAGTTTTAAGTCATTGTTTAGAATGTACTCATTTACTGATACTTCATATGTCTTGATATCTCTATATTTTGTCTTTGCATGAAAAGTTCTATTTTCATTACAGAAAATGGGCATTAAAGAAGAATTTTATCAGAAAGTAATTTCTGCTGGGGCTGACCATCTGGGATGTGCTGTAAGTAAGCTGTTTCCAAACTTTTGTTTTTTCTGATTTCTAGTTAAAAATGTATATTTTCATGAACATTTGAATACATGCATTCTTTGTTTATTTTTATTTGAAAGCTTAAGTAATTTTCGAAATTGGGTTAAATTGTATTTCATGTCTGTGATATAAAATTGTTGATTTTTCTCTGCTTTTAATGTACTTTTTTTTTTTTTTTCATTTAGAATCCATTGCAAGGAAATTTGTTAAAAGAAGAAAGTAAGTATGCCTAGATAATTAAACATGTATTTAATATTTCTTGTAACTTAGTACAGAAGCAATATTTTATGTTGCATCTCTATATTAGCGTAAGCAGTGTTGTGTAGATTGCTTGAAAGAAGCGTAGCTAAGGTTTTTAGCACTCGGGGACAGCTATAGATTTTGCGCCCCTTTCTGTGTTCCCAAAATGAAAAACATTTCATTCTCAAATTTGTAGCATCAATTTAACGTCTCTGGATGCTGTGCCCGGGGGCAAATGTTCCCCTTTTGCCCCACTCTAGCTATGCCACTGTTGCTTGATTGACTGTGTTAACTGTCACTTTTGGTCATTAAAAAAAATAAAATATATGTATATATATTTTCAGGTATATCAACCAGTAGCAAGCACTTTGAAAGTGGCATTTCATCCTTCCTGCACTGTGAAAAGTGTCATTTTTATCTTCACAATTTAATGCAGAAAAGTCAAATGTGCCAAGGTAAGGAAGGACCGTTATTTTAATATCAAGTGAGTGTCATTGAAAATATAATGGTTCAATACGTATGTTGTATGAGGTGATTATATGTTAATGACAACATTTGTCAATTATTTACGAAGTTATACACAAATTTACAACTTTGTTACAAATATGTCAGGTCATATTGTTTTCAACGAAATCTGCGTCGGTAGGAACACTTTTCAGGAATACATACAAAGAAATATATGACAGTATATCTCGAGGAAAACTAATGTATAATTAAGAAACCTGAAATTAACTTGCTTCAATAGTTTCTTATCACTCTTCTGAAAGAATGGCAAGGCAGATGGAAAATTAGGAATAAGTTTACACATCTTGCATATACTGTTGATTAATTACAAAATAATTCATATATCTAAGAATAGGTCTTTTTTCCATTATTATTATTATTTTTTTTTAATTTTAGAAATATAGTTCTGCATTATTTATAATCATTTCTGAAAAATTGCATTTATGTAACACTTCCTTACATTTATGTTGGTCTTCCTATGATAAAGATGTATAGAGATGATTAAAATATGCTGTCTGAAATTTTCTTCTTGAATAAGCATTATATAATTTTACAGTTTATGTATTTATGTTGTGTGCATAATATATGTTAGAATAGATGTTGGAAATCAATATTGGCTTTAGAAATAATCTTAGCAAAATGGTTTGTTTTATGTGAATAGGGCAAAGCTTCAGGGCTATTTGCCTAAGGAGAGGGATGCCTTCATGGAGGACTTTTCTAAGAGAAACTGGTTCATATACATACACATTACACATGAGGAAAACCACGAAAACACCCATGTAGCCAGCCCGTTCGCGGGATTCGAACCTTGGACTGAACTATCAGTGTTCAGTGGCTTGACCGCTAATGGGCCCTTAGTAAAATATATCTAACAATTTTTTTTGCACTGTGTCTTTAATTTATCTCGCATGCACTGGCTCACATGCCATTAGATTTTTAATTTATCTCTCATCCAACCTTAAAACTAGGTAATTCATAGTATGTTATCATTTGATAAAGCACTCAAGCAATCTCCAGTTTATCTTTCAAGTTTTATTAGTCTTAAATCATTTAAAAACTAATAATTTAAATTTTTTTAATAGTGTACCTAATTCACATGACTTAAAGTATGTTTAATTTATTATACATTCATCTGATGGTTTAGTTTTTATGGGCATTTACAATCAAACATAAAGTTACAACAGACAAAATTGCTGTAGATTGTTTTCTGCTTTAAGAGTTTCTTCAGTTAAAGAACAGAATTTTTGTTTCACCTCCAATTTATAATTTTTTATTTTGCTGCTTAAATATGTAATTCAGATATCATTAATATTCCATACTTAAAAATTGATTCAGTGAATTTGTATGTATACATTCCAGATATTTTATTTTAATTTTATTGTAAAAACAGCATTTCCATTTTTTTTTATATTATTCTCCATTTATGGCTACTGTTTGAGTAATGCGCATTTTCTGTCATTGCAGAAATATATGTTGTGTCACAATGAAACTTAGTTATATTCCAATACTTTTAATTCAACAGTAAATTAAAATAGGCAAAATTCAGCCTTAAAGTATGTTGTTTTTATAGAAAAATTCAATTTTTTCTTGTAAAACTCGTGAAGAGTTTATTTAATACTTTTATAAAATTGCTTAATATTGTGAATTGTAATAATAAATAACAAATAATTTGAAGACAGTTAAGTAGTTGAAATCAATATTAGATTTAAAACAGTCTTGAAATATTATGCTTAATCTTTTTCATTATTCACCGATTTACTATTATTGTTATTAATGTATGAGAACCCCCAACCTTCATTTTAGTTTTGACTAAAATTGCCCATGGGATTGGTATCTAAAGCTGTTGTATTAGTCTTTAACCTAGTATCAACATCATGAAAGAGCTTAGGATCTACGAGTTGCCTCTGTTTTTGTAAAGACACTACAATCACAAATGTTTACATTATATCTAGTGTTAAGGTTTGAACCAAATCATTATGATGGTCATTCAGCCTTTGCTAACTGCCGTAAAATCCAGAGCAACATGTTTTGATATTATTGAAGCTTGTTGGCAGGACATTGCTGTAATTATATATGAGAGACACCTTTTTATGAGTATTTGAATATATTACACTGCCCCTCCCAAAAATGTGTTTGATGACTTCTAGGCAACTAAGTTGTTTCATCTGCATTTTTAAGTAATAGTGAATCATTATGTTCATATTCTTAATTTTTGGAGAATGTTTTGTGACTTTAGATTGATTGTATATTTCTTTATTTCCAGTTTGTGGACACTCTTCCCACACCCCATGCAGTTATGGTGTTCTTTCTCAGTCAGTAAACAAGCTGGATGCTGGTGAGTACCTCTTATTGAATACATTAAAAAGCATCAGGAATTATGTAATGTAATGTAAACAAATGCCATACTAGTTTATGCATTATTTCTTCAAAACATTACTTATTCCTACCACTTGTTGAATGCATTTCAAGATAACTTTTTCTAAAATGAACATCCATTATATTGGGTAGTTTGAGTCATGTGTGGAGGTACTCACCAAAAGATAAAATATTGTTGAATGGTGATGATTGATTTGCTTTTTTGATTTACTCAGTTCAGAGCTCTTCTCCGTTAATGCTGAATTATATGATATTGGTTTATTAATACTGTTATATTAAACTTGTAAATTAAGGGGGACGTATGTAGAAAATAATGTAGGGATGCTATGTAGAATAAATTAGAAAAACCATTTAGCTTACTCTTACTTTTATGTAAAAAAGGAAAAATAATAGAAACCCTACATTGAAAATTTTTCTTTAAAAACACTCGCTGCTTATTAATTTCATGCATTGAAAGAAACTTGGTTTCTTAATTTTCTGTTCTGCTTAAACTCTTCAACTTTATAAAATAAATAAATCATTATATTAACCCTAAATTGTTACCTAATTGTTTTAACTTGTTTACAGGATTAGATTGAAAAAAATAATCAAACCAGTTATGTAGCTCAGCACAGAATATATGGCATTGAAAACATCTTTTGTTAATACAAGAATGCTGAAAATGCCTTTAAAAATAAATATCATTACGCTACATTAAAATATAAATTAATTTTATATTTTCTCAATTAAGTATATTATTAATAAGTAAATCTGATTAAAATACTTGAAAAAGGGTATTGTGCTAAAGTTCCTCAATTTGGTTATGCAGTTACAGGCTGATTATATGTGAAAGATAGATAGATATCTTACACTTTGTTGAACAGCATCACTCAGTGAGCATCATCACTATTTGTAAGGTTAAAAAAAAATGTGGGAAATGAAATTTAAAAAAAAAATTCTGAAGCTTACATATTTTATGCAATAGCTGCACTTGGCAATTTTTATGGATGATGAAAAATCCAAGGTAATTTGGGAAGACTCCATCAAAATGTTACTAATGCCAAAATATTACAAAAATCTATATAATAAATTTTGTTCATTATTTTCAGAAACACATTTTGCTTATCACAATATTGTTCTAATGTAATCTGCCTACTTAATATTTTGCTTAATCATTTATTTCCTTTACAAAAATAGTCTGGACTATGTAAAAATGAATCAGTCATCTTATTTACTATCAAACATGTATCGTACCTTTCCATTTCTTTTGTTTTTGATTGTCAGCATCATCTTCATTAATTTTTAAGCGAGTTTTTAAATTTAAGGTGTTGCAGATCTATTAAGATTATTGAATCATCTTAATTTAAGGTTGTACTTAAGATTTTCAAAATTTAAAATTAAAAAAGGAAAACAAAAATCACAGGCAAACATGCATAGAATAATCACTTTTGAAATAAGTGTAACCAAGGATTGCATATTGCATTAGTAGTATTCCAGAGAGGATTAACTACTGTTTTCTTTAAAAGTAGTTTTGCTGATGTAGTTAGAATTGAGAGTTAGTTTAATATGTGAAATATTTTAATTTTATAACACAATTAGACATTTTGCTAGTCACTTAAATAGAGCTTAAATTGCGCCCGAGGCAACCAGAGCTTGGCTCCGATACTTCTTAGTTTTTGGGATAAATCATAATTCTAGCCGGAACACACCAAAGTGCTAACTAAGAAGGCTCTGGCACTTCTATGCAACTGAACAACAATTTCAAAAGAAATTTTATTTTTAGTTATAAAATTATACTAAAAATCCTATCTTTTGAATGCCTCTCTTTCTCTTGGAAACAAACCTTTGAACGGTTGAGATTTCTAAAAGAGGAAAAGCCCACACCCATATGTTTATTCTTTAGAAAGTACAATGACTTTATGATAGTGGGTAAAGTCTTCCTTGAAACACTAGTATCTTTCAGCAGAAAAGAGCATCTATAGACTTTTTGGAATGATGTAACCAAAGATGGAAAATGAAAATTTTCACTTAGATTTGCAGCTAATCAAATGTTTGCAGCTAAACATTTGATTCTGGGAAAATTTGTTTCCCTGGCTCATTCTGCTTGACAGCTAGAATTAGATGGTCAGAAAATGTTGGAATCTTCTCTATTTGTTTTCATACCTATAAAACATCCTTAAATTTTCTTTACATTCTGTTACTGTTTATAGCATTCTCTATAGTCTCTCATTGATGCTTTAAACATTTTAAAGTTATTTACTGGTGTGCTGAGAAAAGAATGGTCTTTATTTCTGGCATTCCCCAATCATATTCAAGGTTTAAATTCTATCGGAGACTGGTTAAGCTATTTTTTAGATTTTGTGTTAAATTTTAATTTCATTTGAAATCTAAAATAAGTCAAGATCTAGTACTTCATTTTATTATTTACCATTTATTTAATAATTTGTATGTATCTCTTTATACTTTATGAAATTTTAATTATTTGAATAGTTAATTATTAATTTGTTCAAACATTTATGATTTTATTATATTAGTCATTTTATTTATGTATTCGTTTTTGTTCCTGACTCCACCACTTCTAATTTTACAAATTAAGACTCTGCACTTAAATGCATATTCATTGGTCTCGGTTAAGGGGTGGATATCTTAGGTAGTAATATTATAACTATAAATTCTGTTGTCTGTCTATGTTCTCAGAAATATTGGTCACTTTCAGATATGGTCATAATAGGAAGTTATTTGCTATGAAAGTTCTCTGTATTTTTGAAATATTGTGCAATCAGCTGCAGTTTTTGAATTTTCTGCATTGGGAACAAAAGCAGTATCTTTTAGAAGTTCTTCACATTTTTATAAATATATTGGTTAGTTGTGTTTGTGGTTAATTCAATGACTATATAAGGGTAACATGTCTAAAACTTTTCCTTTGTGTACATAAGTAAATAGCCCTTGTAAAGTTTACTGTAATTAATGTAATTATTCTACCTTCCATTAGCTAAATAGATAAAATAAGTATCTTTGTGGTTATGTATACTAGGTAAAATGTTTCTGTAATATGTAAGGCCATTCCCAACAATTTTCAATTTGAGGTGTTCTAATAGAATAGATGAAGTAATAGCAAGCAAGTGATAATGTTATAAAATTGTTTCCTAATTTTTGTACTTTTTAAGCCAATGTAATTTTCCTGTAGATAATGATTTTATAGAGTTAGTATGCATTTGAAAGTTTCAAAATTTGTACAAAAGTTATCTGAACTGTAGAAATTTTAATTGGTAATTCTGTTGTGATGACATAGGATAAATGAAGTATTTCAAAGAATTAATTTTTTTATTTTGGTATATAAATTCTTAAAAGAATAAAAGTAGTGAGGGGGAACAGCTAGAATGTAAATAATACAAATAATGTATAAAATTTAGAGGAAAAAGGCTTTTTTTAAAGTAGGTGTTATATAATTATTTGTATATTTTTTGTTTTTAATGATTTAAATATTTACCAGTTATTCCGGCGCATAATGCACACTTTTAATAATAAAATAACATCAAAATTTACGGGTGCGTATTATGTGCTGGGTATAAAAATGCTAGGTTAAAATTAAAGAAAAAAATAAGCATACAAAAATTAATTTTTATATGTACCTAGATGCTATTTATTTAAAAGAAATGACATAACTTACAAACTTGAAAATTTTCATTATCGGATAACATGAAAAGTTTATCTTGTTTACGTCATTTGGCACATTATCGAATTCTGTTTCATATTCAACATCATTGTTATTCTGATCTATAAATAAATAATCATCATCAGTTCAGTCTTTCACCAACACTAGACATCCTTGCTACTATTTCCATTTTCTTTTGGAAACTGAACGACTTTGCGTTTGAAACCAGTACTGAGTTTTTTTCGTTTGGCAGGAGCCATATTTACTACTAAAAGGAACCTTAGGTCAACTCTGTTTCAACTAAAATAAATGCCATTTACGAAAACATTTTAATGTTCACTTCAAAATCACAGCTTTAAGTGACTACAAAAAGAGAAAAAAAATCTGACCCCTAATTTCACAAATTTATTTGGGTTGGAAGGGCATTCTGAGCAGAGGCGTAGCTAGAGGGGGGCACCTGTCCCCGGCGCAGAATCCAAGGGGCGCCAAACTGATGTTACCACGTTTTAGAATTAAATGTTTTCCATCCTTGGCAAGCAGTAGGGGGCGTGAAATCTTCAGTTGTCCCTGGGCGCTGAAAACCCTAGCTACGACTCTGATTCTGAGCCTAAATTCTGTCCACATTTTCTGGAAACCCTAAGATAACATTCTTGCACACATCAGCATTGAATATAACCCACCATTCTTTACAGACTTACTTACTCCATCAAGCATTTTCTTTCTCCCCATATACATACTGTTCCCTTTATCGCTTACCAATTCCGTATACAATTGTTCAAATGAGTAGGTAAAATCTTTGAATGAATTAATTTCAACAGATAAGAGCCATCGCACATGTACCTTTTAGGTTTCTTTCAAAAAAAAAAGCATGCACATTATATGCCAAATATACTTGAAAATTAATAAATCTAGTCTGAAATTATAGATGTGCGTTATATGCCAGAATATACAGTATATGACGAAGAAATGCATATTAAATGACTAAACTTCAGAAAACTTTCTTCTGTCACTTTATTTACAGTAATGTTCTAGCTGTAACATTTTATCAGTGTTTAAATAAAATAGAAAAATAAATTCCAACTAAAGGAAATATCAAATGATAAACATTTTCTCTGTTAAATGTCCTTTATTCTCACATTTTTTCCCTCACTTTTTTAATTTCTTACCTGATTCAGATCTGTCCTGTTTTAGGTATTCTCTTTCTCTTTGTTATTCATAGGCTCATATTTTGCATATAATAGCTCATATTTACTATAGCATAAATATGACCCAGTTTCCTTCATAAATTCATTTTTACCTTTAGACAAATAACCCTCTTCTGTTTTACCACATTGAGTTAAACAAATTTTTTCCATTTCTGATCGCAAAGGGATCAATACCATGCTTGTTTATATTGTGACCTATTTGAACAGTGTACTATTGTGCATATTATTGCTTTTTAACCCTATGAATGTCTGATGTAATATTTTTGGGTTTTACTATGAAATGGATTTGTTATTAAATTATGTGATATTTAGCATAGGAACTTGGAAACAGGTTTCTAATACCTTCATAGTGTGTCTCTTGATTATACAGTGGCCTTGAGACCACTTGTTACCATGCGATGAATTTTGATGAGATCATTCAAGGCTAGCTTTTTCATGGCACTATGCTTTTTATTTTCTTCATATTAATATTCCAGACTGGTTTTTATTGTGATAGCTGAAGTCTTTTATTCCTTAATGAAGTTGGATTAGTCTTCCATTTTATCTTATTTTAGTTCTAATGTTGCATTAATCTAAGATTGAAAATAATCAGTTTTAAGAATGGATAAATGTCACTTGTTTTATCTTCTAAGAAGGAAATTCTGACTCGCTTGCGTATTTATGTAAAAACGAGTATAATCTATTAAAGAATAAAAATATAATGTCGAGATGCATATAACTTCAGCAAATAACCCTCTTCTGTTTTACCACATTGAGTATGGTTGTAAGAATTATCTCCATACAATATAAGATTGAACAGAATTCTTCAGAATTTTGTGAAACTCTTACAGTATAGTGTACAACTGTAATATGTCGTGTTTCAGCCTGCATATGAAAGAACAAATGGTTAAAAAAAATCAGTTTGAATAAAATAAAAGGTAAATTGTACAATTTCATTCACATAATTGTCTGCTGTTGTGAAATTTTGAATTTGAAAAGTATTTTGGGGTTTTACCTATTTTTATATAAAAATTTCTAAAGATTCCTTATTAATTATTCATAATTTTTAGTAGACATTAGCCTAGGTTAATTGATTAGGGCAAGGGTTATCTGCCTATCAGGAGGGATGCCTTTGTAGATGACTTTTAAGGGAAACTGTATTGTATCTGCATTACACAATGGAGAAAACCAACCATGTAGCCAGCCTGTTTACCAGGAATCAATTCCAACTCTAACTACCAGTATTCAGCAACTTCACCCCTGAGCCACTGATGGGTTAATTTTTAGGAGACATGAATATAGGAATTATTAAATATTTCATTTCCAAAAAAATTTTCGATTGGTTGCTAGAAATCTTCATTTTTTTTAAATGTACCCATTTGATATTGTAACTGTTACGTTATTTTTAATTATTTTGGTAAAACTACTTTGTGATTTGTTTCAGGTATAATTATTTATAATTTTTACCATCTGTAATTCTGAAGAAATATTTTAAGTATATATATATATATATATTGCATTTATATAGTTGTGTTTGGGCGAGAGCTGTGTTCAGAGTTCAGTGTTGCTGACCAACATGCCCCAACACTAGTCTTAAAATGTATTCAAGAAATAGAGCAGCATGCAAGACAAAATCCAGGTAAGATATGTGCAATAAAAAATTTTCCTAATAGTGGTTATCAAGTGTGTAAGAATTTAATGCTAGTTTTTCTTTTATCTGTTTTATACCTGGTATCAAAATTTATTTAAAACTGGATGATATATTAATCCAGAGTGTGTTCACCTTCCTTTAATTTTAAATGATTGTATTACCTGTACTTTTTATAATTTTACTGTATTAATTTTTGTAATTCTGTAATTTCTGCATGAGTATTTGTAATGTAAATCGAACTGTCTAGAGTTTGTAATATACTTATGGAAATTTAGGTTTAGTTTTTAATTTTAAAAAAATTTCACCTGTTTTGAATATTTGCTTCTTCTCATTTCTGCCATTCTTAATATTCTGTCTTATACTATATGCTTGAATTTTTTTATTTTAGTTATTTATAAGAGAGTCTTAAATATTTAATTTGTCAGTAGTATAAACTAAAGTAGTAATATGTGTGGGTTAATCTCAAAAGAGGAATTTTACCTCATCTTGATCAATTTAAGATCTTGTTTGACCACTTTTGAACATTTATGTAATATGAGTGTAATGTATGTTTCTTTCATTTTAAGTTTAGCTTGCAATGAAATTTTAATAGTGTTTTTTTACTTCCTTGTATGAAGTAAAAAGGAAGTATTGTAATCGCGAAAAGTTTCAGGCAGCATATTTCAACGAAAATATCCATTTTGACCGCTATCGAATGCAATTTAACGATGTTTTTGTGTGATATCTGTATGTAAGGACAGAATAAAATATCTTTTTCCTTCAAAAAAAATATAAAACTGCTTTAAAATTAATTCTGAAGAGAATTTTTCGTGGCGTCTGTACGAACGTATGTACGTACGTATCTCGAGTAACTCAAAAACGAGTAGCCTCAGAATGTTGAAATTTTGTATATAGACTGCTATAACATGTAGATGTGCATCTCGTATTTTGGTTGCAATCGGCCGCACCAAACGTATATAAATATATTTATATATATATCCACTCTGTTACCCGGCTCAGTGATCTCAGTTTCTTTACTCTTATATGTTTGCAAATTGTACATTTTTTGCTTTAATAAAAATGATTGTATTATGTTGTTTTATCTTCCGTTTAAGGTTTTTATGCCTTTAGTAAATCTGTATGCAATATTTTTAGAATTATCAACAATTTTAAAGTTGTCTAAGTGCCGCTAAGCCTTTTTTTTTTTTTATGGCGGCCATTCATGTTTACATTTGAAACAGGAGACTAGTGGATTTGTAGCCAATCTAGAGAAACTTAGCTTTGCAACAACAAAGATAACACATTCATTTATTATTGCCAATTAAGTCATGCTTAATTCTTTCTGGAATTTTTTCGAGAAAATAAGTGTTTAAAATTTACTTCGTAATTTTTAATATAGATATTTTGGAGTTTTTATGTATTTTTGCCTTCTCGCGAAGTGAGAGCTGAATTAATTAAATGAGAAATACTCAATCGTCTGTGAAAAACTGTTTCTTTTTTATTTTGTTTGCTTAATTTCTTTTATACATCATTTTAGCTTTATTATAGTATTTGAATAGAACATGTGGCAAAGATTAGATAATTCTATTCTTTAAATGATTATTTGAATAGAACATGTGGCAAAGATTAGATAATTCTATTCTTTAAATGATATAAATTGTGTGCATTATGAGTTATAATATGAACGAAATATAAATTTTCGTTAAAAGTTAACTGTTATATAATTATTGGATTATATAACAGTTAACTTAGTTTCCGTTATATAATTATTATATAAGTTAACTGTTATATAATTATTAATACTGTTAAGTGAATCTAGCGCCAGAGTGTCGCTATGGTAAACAAATACTAGAGTGAATTTTAAAGAATGCATTTATTCTATTGTTCTTTATGCGCTGTTGGCGAAGTAGGTTTAATTCAAACTAATAAGTTTAAATGAAATGCAAGAAAAAATGCATTTAATTTAATATTCCGTACAAGGAAGTCATGTTGTGTACACATCGGATTTTTAATATATGTAATTACTTATTGTTTCAAAATTCCTTTTTTAGATGTTGATTTATATCTTGGATACAAAACTCCAGTGCACAGTCATAACCAATCCAAAATGAAACAGAGACTTAATGAAGGTGAGTTGTGTGTATAGATTTGGAGCTATTTTACCAGTGATTTATATCAAATTCTTTGAAAAAGAAAATACTCTAATAGGCATATTTTTCACAATCTTTAGTTATAAGTAAACTACAAAATTTTGATTTTAAATGAGGGAATCTTAGCAGATAAGCAAAGAATTCCTTATTAAAGTATAACACATGTTACTGTTTTATTGGATCTGTTGAGCTATTCTTATATTTATTTACTTTTATTTATAGTATTTTTTTTATAATTATTTTACGTGTATCTTTGTTATTGCAAATATGTTACCACCTAAAAAATGTTACACAAAGCTATTTCTGAAACTATATTTCTGATAGTTTTGCATATTATTTAATTTATTTACCCTTTATATTGATTTTTTTAAAATTTGAAATTGCACTTTATGTACTTTTTTTTATTCATTTCTCATTTTCTTTAATTAGAAATGTTATTGTTTTAAATTTCAATAAGATTGCAACTGATGTAAATTAGAGATGTTGTTGCCAGTCACTTAATAAGATCTTTCTTTTATATTCAATTTAAAAAAAAAAAGATACATGAATTAATGTCTTCAGTTTTAAAATACAGATAATCATTAAAATAGTTATTTTGACTTTTTACAACACTTTTCATTAAGTGATATTTTATATCATGAGTGTCATAAGTAAAATTTGCCTTTAATAATTAAAATCTAATGGATGTAATAGGGAAGTTTTAATGGTCCATGCTTCTTTATGTGTTATTTTAAATCAAATGGTAGTACATCTTGATATTTTTGTTTAAATCCTGTTTTGCATTAAAAAAACGAAATGCAGAAATAAATAATGGAACTTTTAAAATTGAAATTGCTGTAGAAATTTAATGTTATTCAACTGTAAAGGTTTAGTTTTATGAACTGACAAAAGTAATTTTTTTTTTTTTTTTTTTTTTTTTTTTTTTTTTTTTTTTACTTTTTTGTTATATTAAATATTTGTAAATTTTTGTTTTAAATTAAAAAAATTTTAGTTGTAATTTATAACTCTTCAAAACATTAGAATGTAATCTAAAGTTATAGATTTTTTTATTTTATTTTTTATTTCAATATAAAGATGTCCTATACAGATATTAGTGCATTTTGCTAATAAAAGTGCAGATAAATTGTAGTTTGTAAATGAAATAATGTAATTTGGTTAATATTCAGTGAGGCTTTGAATGAGATAAATTTTTATGAAATTTTACTTGAGGTATAGTGACAAAAGCTATAATCAGTATAATAGTTTATTCAACACTGAATGTGGTAACTTTTTACAAATATTGTTCAGATGTCTAATGATGCGAAAAAGCTATACATATATTTTTAATTCAGGATTAACCAATAATTTTATTATTAGCAAGGATTTTCTTTAATAAATAAGATTTATGTTTTAAATAGCATGTTTTCTTTCTTTCATGAAATTTTTATGCTTATTGCCTGCAGAATTTTGCTTCTTTTATAGCCTGTTAAAGCATTACCTCATTGAACTGTCTATAAATTGAAAACATTAAAAAAAATTTAATACCTTTTTTAACATTAACAGATACGAGAAACTTGGATTTTAAAGGACATTCACTCTCCTACATCACAAGTGCCTTAATAAAATATCTGAGGGAATTGCCCAATCCTGTGATACCAGTGCAAAGTTACGAAAAATTTGTAGATGCTTCTAGTAAGTTCCATAGTTTAATTTGTTATCTTAATGTTATCAGTGCTGTATGGTACATACAATATATATTAAATGTTTAGGAGCCAGTTATTTAACTGAATTTGATGTTTCAGTAATTAATTATAGGATGCAAGTTTCATTTTATGTAAAGCTAAATAAATAAATTTAAAAAAAAACTGCATGATAAAAATGAAAGTGTTAAAACTTTTTTTTTTCCCTTTGTGTATTTATTTTGTGTAAAACTTAAAAAATCTGAATATTTTAGACAGTACAAAGTTTGAAATCCTGATAAGCATCCAGACCTTCATAAAACTTTTTTTTTAATATTCTTTTTCTCGCCCAGTGTTGGAGTGGATGATATGATATTCAAGCAGAAGCTAGTGTTGACATGCTGCAAACACATTTAAACATAAATGAAAGTACAGGATCTTTTGCAAATGATCCATCTGATTCATCAATGGAATGGAAGGTTTTTTCACATTCCTGTTCCTTTATTGGTTTTTGCAGAGTTTACTGTATTCAGAATTGACATCCAGATGTATGGAAGACTGAGGGAAAGGTCTCAGTTCTAACATGGCTTGGGGGTGAATTCAAAAGATTTCTGATTTTGAGGCTGATTTTATGCCAAGGTTTTGGCAATGATTTTTTGGCTTATCCTACTCAGTTATTGAGTTTTGATACTCCATGAAGTATTTGACTGAAAAATGTGCAGATTCTATTCATAAATTGGTTGACAGAAAGCTTGGAGCTTTTTCTTTCTTTTTTTATGTTCGACTATTATCCATAGTTTTCAGGATGTGTAGCCATATATTGAGTTTCTGATCTTGTATCTTTGTTGTGAATTGGGATTGTATATATACCTGCAGTATGTATTGTAGCAGCATCTGATCTTGACAATTTCCAGATCAGTGAAGTAATGATAAACTTATAACTTTTGAACATGAAGTAGATATATGGGGTAATGTAGTAGTAGAAAAAATTTCTATTAAATTTACTATTATTTGATGATTACATTTTGTGAAACGGTTGTAGATCATTTATTGATTTTCTTTGCAATTTTTTCACAAAATCAGGAGGATATTGCTTTCAGCTATTCACGGTATGTAATTATATTCAGTTTCATAAGACTCTAGAGTTGATGCTCCCATAAAGAGACCTTGCTGTTTGTAGGTTTATCCACTGACTGTAAAATACTGTAAGCTTTTGTATGGCATGAAAAGCTTCATAAATGCTTGTAATAAGTTTGGGTGTAATTCTTAGTTTTTCACCAAAATCATTTAAGATTATAATAAAGGGAAGGATTTGACAGTGATGGTAAACATGGTCCTATCAGGGCCATCTGCTTTGGAATTTGTTCATAAAATTTTTTTGTAGAATGCATGTTTAATATACTGTCTTGTATGAAATTGGAGTGTGTTGGCAAGCTTGTGAAATGCTAAATGAAAATGATATAGCTGAAGTCTTCATTGAAATGATAATGCTCCTATCATTAATCATTTAATGGACTGTTAAGTTTGTAATATGATTTTATATCTAGAAATTATTGCTGCAGATACTGAAGGAAAGTGATAAAGAAATTGCTGAGAATGAAAAGATTTCAGTTAATTATTTAATGAGAGTTCTAGGCATAACTGTTCTAGAATTTGAACAATGAAACTGTTTTCTAAACTTGCGCATCAAACAAAATTGCTTGACCAGCATATGTTAAAAAAAAAAAAAAGTTTAATGAAACAAAACTAATGTTAACATTAACATGTTTTTCGTACATTTTGAATCATACTAGATTTAAATTGATGATCTAAATATCTGGAACTTTCCGAAATCTGAAATCGCTTAAGTCTCAATGAGTCCAGATATCTGACTTTGTACTCTAGTCATATTTTAAAGGTGATTTATTTATCTGTATGTTTTATTATATTTTTAATTTTTGCAAGTTTCATGCGATAGAGTTTTGTTTTAAAAATAAAATATTTCTTCTTAGAAATTCCTATGGACAAACAGTGTGCCATGTATTTAGGAGAACTTGTCCAACAGCTACCTGTTCACCACAAAGTCACTTTGCAAACTTTAATGGCCCATTTTTGCAGAATATGTTGCTTGCAGCATTCTAGAGGCTTCAGAAGTTTTCCAGAGTCCATGATTAGAACTCTTAGCCATACACTTCTAAGACCTCCATGGGAAAACATCGAGTAAGATATTTTTCTCACTGTTATTAAAATTATTAACTCTTTTCACAGAGCATAAGCAATTCAGAATTTTAAAATCAAACTTCTTAATTTTGAAAAATGTTCATTTAATTAAGTTGGGATTGGATGGGGATTGGAGATCAAGTACTGGATATGTTTTCCTCATCGGAAGTGGTGCAATATCATGGTGTAGTAAGCGTCAACCAGCCCATGCAACTAATGCACAACCAGTTATATTATATCGTGATAACAACAGTGCTATTAATCTCAGTGAAAATAGCATATATCATGGTAAATGGAAACGTACAAGGTTGTTCAATAAGTTCGCAGAGCGCCATCTATTCATCAATATTAGACGTAAAACTTCGACCCCATTCTCATATTTGTTCTTTTTTAGGAACACGTCAAAAGTTTCATTTCGATCTGTTAATTTATTCATTGTTTAACCGCCCTTTATATCTAACATGTTGTGGCTTTTTTCAGGCATGGATAAAATTGAGCAACATGCAGTTATCAAATTCTTTGTAAAGAAAGGTTTAAAGGCAATGGAAATTCATACCGAACTGGTGAATGTGTTAGGTGAATCTGCTCCTTCAAAAACAATGGTTTGCAAGTGGGCTAGTTTATTCAAAAGTGGTCGTATCAGCCTTGAAGACGATCCGCTAGAGGGACGTCCAAAAACTGCATCAACACCGGAAATCATCGGAAAAATACAAGATGTGGTATTGGAAGACTGTCAATTGACTGAAAGAGATTTAATGGAGGCTTTAGGCATTTCATTGGACACAGTGAGCAATATTTTGAATGTTAATTTGGGTTTTAAAAACTCTGTGCAGAATGGGTGCTGCATTGTCTAACGGTGGAGCAAAAACACATTCGAATGCGACTTTGCCAGCAGCATTTGGAGCATTTTAAGAAGAATAAAAGCGACTTTATCGATCGATTTATCACAGTAGATGAGACTTTGATCTACCATCATTATCCTGACTCAAAACAGGAGGCTAAGGAGTGGTGTGAACCCGGCTCTTCGGCGCCGAAGCGAGTTCGTGTGCAAAAATCAGCCAAGAATGTGTTAGCATCAGTTTTTTGGGATGTGAAAGGAATTTTGCTTATAGATTACCTTCAAACTTGCAAAATTATTTCATATTATTATTGTAACCTTTTGAATCAATTAGACAAAAAAATTCGTGAAAGAAGACCTGGATTACAGAAGAAAATCATTTTCCACCAGATAACGCACCTGCGCACACAGCTAAAAAAACCATTGCTAAAATAACTGAAGTACAAATTGTTGCAACATCCAGCCTATTCGCCAGATTTAGCTCCCTCCGACTTCTGGCTCTTCCCACACCTCAAACAATATCTCCGTAGAAAACGATTTTCTTCAAACGAAGAGGTAATAGCTGTGGTGGAGGGATATTTTGCAGAGCTGCCGAAAAACCACTACAGTCAAGGGATCCATAAATTAGAAGACCGTTGGAATAAGTGTATTGAAGTTGAGAGAAACCACGTTGAAAAATAAAGTCATTTTTACAAATAAAAATTGGTTTCTTCATTTCCGTTCCGCGAACTTATTGAACAACCTGGTATAGATATACAACACCATTTTGTCCAAGAAGCTGCGACACTTAAGCATATTGACATACATAATATGACCACTAATGCTTTGATTTGCAGATTTTTTGAAAAACTGTGAATGGTGCAAAACATGAAATGTGTGCAAGGATGATGGGTTAAAAATGAAGGCTAATGAGAATTTAATTTTTTATATGTGTGTGTTAATGTAAATTTGTGTTTAATTGGGATGGTACTTGATATTTAAACCTAAGTGGGAGTATTTAAAAAAAAAAAAAAAAAAAGGTAAATATTACCTTTAAATATGAATTCAGTCCATAGATGGCACCTCTGATGCATATAGTTTAGTAACTATCTGTACATTTGTACATATCCAAGAAAACTTCACTTCTGCTCCTAACTCCCACCAGGTATATTGTGTCTTTATTTATCCTCATACATGTTGAAATAATTGATCTCTGCTATAGTGAGTTTGTTTATATATCCTTCCATAAGAAGTTTCTTAAATGCTTTTAAACGTTTTTTTTTTTTAAACAAAAGTGCTGTTGCTATAATAAAAATATTTTTATTTCTGTGTAGTATAATCAAGAATTGTATTTTTTGTTATTGCCTTTTGACCTAAAATAAATGTGTTGTCTTTTGATGTTATTGCACTTGAATATATCTATGTCTGCGTATATTAAGGTGACCAGATTTTAACATTGGTAAAGCGGGACACCATTTATCGGGGGGAATTCTTGATTAAAAATTTGGTCTATATGGAGCAATGTAGAACGCAAAAATAGTATTGTAATAGATATTTTTAAAAATTTCAACATAAGTGCAATTTACAAATACATTAAAAATTATGTATAGTATTATTTTATTCTTTGGCATATTTCTCATTTAAGTGAATTCGTTTAGTAGATTGCTGTCGTTTTTTGTTGTCCAACTCTTGGACAGTTTGTGATGTACAAGATCTGAAGGAATGATTATGATTATTAGCATAAAAAGACATAAGTCCTTCTGCTAATGCTAATTTCTTTTCTTCATCTCCATAAATTGTTTTCCAAAAGAATTCCTGCATTTTGGAGGAAGATGCAGTAGTATTTAAATATCTTTTATGTTTCTGTGTCCCTGAGTGCTTTGAAATATCATTCTTTACAGCCGGGCAAAATAGAAAAGTCACCATTACATTTCTCGCATTTTACCATGCTTTTGGTTTTTTTAACAAAAGGAAATTCACTTCTTAGATCATCTTTGAATTTGCATCTTCTGTTCTTACTCAAAGAAGTAATTTATAAATTATATTATAAATTTTTATCTGAACATATTTTATTGTTAGTTTAAAAAATAAATTAATTTGTTATAAAGTAACTATATTTTTAAAATTATTTTAATTGAATCCTATATTTCTTTCTAAATAATACTAACATGTATTATTTTTCCTCTGAGAATTTGCTGAACGTAAGTTGTAAGCATCCCTTTCAAGGCCGATGCTAAACCTGTTTGCAGCCACTATAAAATATAAATAATAAGATGCTAAATTCAAGAAAATTTATGTGTTTATGAAATAAATTACATACCTAAATTATTTGAATAGCTGATTTGTTGACATCACTAGTTTAACTAGCACGCAGTATGATGTGTATCGTCTGAGAGACAGTTACAAAATGTTCTCGTCATTGCCAGTGCCAAACAACGATGGTCGAATTCTAACAACTGGTCAACAGTGCGAACTTTGATAAGCATTTCTCTCTCAATAATTAGTTGTCAACAATTATTTGTTATTATTAAAATTGAACATTATGAAATTAACAAAAATAATATAAGGCCAAGTAGCATATCCTGGCGAAGTAGCCACATGGCCACTGAAAACCATATTCTCCCGCCTTTCCCTAGCTTGTTGTGCATTTTTTCCAAAAATCAGGACCTTTTTAAAATGCCGTGGGACAAATTGTTGAAAATCAGCATCTGGTCACCTTGGCATATATTTTAATTCTTGTTTTTGTTATTCTTGTACATTTTCATTATTAAATTATTGCATTTAATGCCTGAATCTTCATTATTTCCTCTATAGGCAAATAATGTGCAACTCTGAAGCCCATATGAGAATAGTCAAGTTATTACTTCTGAAAGGTGAATGGGGAGAAAAACCTCCAGAATTTTTATCCCAGCCAGGTTAGCATTTTTTTTTTTTTTTTTTTAAAGTTTATTTTGTTACTTTTTATTTTAAAGATCTGTTTAATTTTTTGTTTTATTTTTAAAATATGTGAAGGATAAATTTTATTTTTTAACTGTAGTCTTGATTTCTTTTCTATCTGACCTCGAAAGTAATAAATTAAAGATAAGTAAGCTCTTACAAATTCATGAAAAGAAAATTATGTGTAATATATGTGTTACATTTTTTATCCTGCTTTTGAAGGTAATTATTTGTAGTACATTTTGTTGATGAAACTATTTGAAAGAGAAGTAGGTAATTTGGGGGGGGGAAAGGCGTATGTTTGCTAATTTTTCATTTCCATGATAATTTTTTGTCTATTAACTGTCAAATGGTGAATAAAAGTTCTGCATGTATTAAGAAATTTAGACATACTGTAACAAATTTTTTATGAAGTATAATTTGAATTTTCATGCTCATAAATTTCATAATTAATATGATTCTACTGAATATGTTTTTTTGTTTTCAGTTCAACCTCCTCATTTATATGCCATTAAGGAAGCCAAGCAAAATTTACATTCTCACAGGAGTTTGGAAAAATTGTGTAATTCTGAGGATAGTCAAAAACAGGAAAGTAAAGATCTCCAAGATGCAGACTGGTATTGGGGTGATATCACTAGGTATGACCTTTTTCTCTAATAAGTAACAAAATTGTACAACTAATAAATCATCAAAACTTTTTGAAATTTTTGAATTTATTTTATCTACAGTATAACTGCTATATTTTTTTAATAACAAGTTATGAAGCTTTTCATAAATAGCATCATTGAATATCATTTGCTCTGTAGAAGAGGGAGAAATTTGCCTTTGTTACAAAAAAAATTATAACCATTTTTTTACTGTATTAAAAAATATTCGAGGTTCAAAAACTGAAAATTAATGCTTTCTGAATAAACCAAATAATAAAAAGCTATATTATTATAGGAGTTGAAAGTTTTTAAATAAGTTTTTCTCTGCTCGATTGACAGACAGTTTTTATAAAAATGAAGAATATGGAGGAAATAATTTTATAATCTTGAAAATTTGTTCAGATATTTTATATATTATACATATATATATTAAGTTACAGTTTGGAGTCTGATTACTTGAATAATTTTGATTTTTTAGTATAAACCACTCTAAGAAATATTAATACTGTATTTAGAATGAATTCTATAATCTTTAAACTAAAATTATGCTAAATTCCAGGCATGAAGTTTCCTTATTCATTGGAAAATATTAATTGAAAATTGGATAAGATGTGTTATTTTCATTTAACATTTGTTTATTTACATACGTTCATTTTCATTTTGAGGAATACTTAATATTTTGCCATAATGCAGTGTTTGCTCTGATGCTTGCTATTATTAAACAGTATATCTTAAGAAAATTTTAATTATTCTGTGTTTCAGAGAGGAAGTGAATGAGAAGCTAGCAAACACATGTGATGGTACATTCCTTGTTCGAAATTCATCCACTAAAGGCAATGGAGAGTATACTTTGACCTTGAGGTAAATGCACAAAATCGGTGTTTCATACGTTGTACTAGATTTTGTTACATTTTGTAAAAATGTGGTATTTGCCAGTGTTAAAAAACATTAGGACTTAAAATGAAATGAAAATGTTGAAGATCTGTTGGATTTGTTGTATTTATGCATTTTTATTATTATTATTTATTTAGGAAAGGAGGCAGCAATAAATTGATTAAAATATATCACAGAAATGGAAAGTATGGATTCTCTGAACCCCTTTCATTTCCTTCAGTTGTGGACCTGATAACACATTACCAACATGTTTCTTTAGCTCATTACAATTCTACTTTAGATATAAAATTGATGCATCCTTATTCAAGATTTTCTGAGGTAAGTAATTGAGTTTCTTTGTATAGTGTAGTGTTATCTAAAAGAACTAATTAGTTTGAAGTTGATATTTAATGAATATAACATATTTGATTGTACACATCAGTATTTTGTACTCAACAATGAAACAAAATTATAACCTACTTATTTGGAAGCCAAGAAGTTAACAAAATAAAATTTTCATGAAAAACATTATTTTTTGCCTTTTTATCCATTATAAATGTTTACCAAAAGCAATTACCTCAACTTGAATTTGAATATCAGGTAATATTTGGGATTATGAAGGTATTGAGAGAAGAAAGACCCTTCATAGATTTTGTAGTTGCTGATGTTGGACTGTTTTCATGATAGAGAACGTGTGTCCCAGACTTACTTAGCTTTACACTTACTCATGTAGCCATATTTTATCTACCATATTTTCTTCCTAGCTGCTTTGAATTGGTGTAGTGTTTAGCTGAGTCTGACTCCACACATTATTAGATACAGGTTTAGATAACATTGAGGACATGGTGTTTTTTGACTGTAGTATCTTTGCATTATGATAGCATTTAAAATCTTTTGATTCTGATATGGTATTGAGAGATTGGTATCTGTAGAAAGAGGAGTGTGAGCAGGGCCATTTCTAACAGGGGTGCAGCACGTAAAAGTACACGAACAATGAAAATCGGGGAAGGGGGGACTCTCGTGATACCACATTTTATTTTAAATTCATTGCAAGTACTTGTCATATGTAAGTACTTAGTGAGTATGAAATAAACATTTTTACTAATCACTGAGCTTTTTTTTTTTATTTTTATTTGTAGGCGGCAATCTTAAGAAAGTACATGAGCAGCCCTGAGTGTGAGAGCCCCAGATTTCTCGTTCTGGTGTGCTTTTGGTCAAAATTGGCTTGAAATTTAGTCAAAGAACCTATGTGTATTCTAAAAAAATAATTCAGTTCATCCTTTTCTGGCTCCCTCCTTTTTCCTGCCCACCTTCCATGGCATATATAATGTTGTTAATATGACCATTCCATCTGTTCACCAAAGTTCCTTTGCTGGCTTCCTATGTTGTTCCTATATGTGTGGAATTCAAACTGTATAGTGTTAGCTGTGTAAAGACTTGCTCTAGAAACCCATATGTGAACCAGTTCTCTTTGACTTCAAATTCCTCAGTAGTCAGTAGTACATGTGTAAATAAAATTTCATTAAAACTCTTTTTTAGTTTAAGACTTATTCATTGCATAGCATTTCTATAAATTTCAAGTAATCCAAATAAATTTAAACGATTAGAAAGCTGTATTTATTTGCAAGAAGCATTGGCCTTTCAAAATTAGAATAGGGTATTCAAAGAAATAAAACTTTTTAATAGTATGTTCTTAATATATTTTTTAATTGCAATTTAATTATCTTATGTTAATATTAATTATTTGCCTATTTTACAGGTTTTTTTATTATTATTTTAGTGTATGTATGCATTATAATTTAGGTTTTCATGTTTGCATTGTAATTTAGGTTTATTATTTTAATAACTAATTATATAAATATTTCTAAATAGTGTGAAACATCTGAGGGCTTAGAGTCAAGTTCCAAATCATTAAGTTCTGTGAATAATGAATATTTGAGAGCAGCAGAGTTATATGATAAATTTTACAAGGACTATGAAATAATGCAGAATGAAATATCTATTAAAGAGAATCTTCTGGATGCTGTGGATAACTGCTTAGCATTACTAGAAAATCAACTGGATGGATGCCAGAAGCAAACTGGAGATAGAACTGTGTAAGTACCTCCTTGTTTTAAAAACAAGTTACATAAGCATTCATCTTTTTCTGATCTCTCTCTGAGATATATAAACCAGCAGTTAACTATGTATAATTTGTTAGTAAGCATTGTATTTTACACTTCTACAATGAAGAATAAGTTTATACATTAATTATGTTTTTCCATAGCTGTTTTGGTAGCATTAACTGAATGGTACCATTAAATGATGAGAAAAAATATCCTTCAAAATAGCAATATGATTAACTAATTTTATATAAAAATATCAAGAAACATGTAGGTATTTTCTCAGCATTTTAATTAGGAAAATGCAAAAGTTTGTTTACGAACTGTTCCTAATGTTACATTTTTATGAATTTTCATGTTGTTTCTGAAAGTTATTTGACTAATGCTGTCTCCGAATCTTAATAGTTGGAAGGCATTCATCATTGGAAGAGAACTTGCCAAAAAAGTTTTAATTAAGCAAGAGAAAGCTATCATAATTTATAGTAGCTGTTTTCAGGGAATTTTCTTTACAAAAGAAAAGACAGTATTCTGCCAGTTTTGGGGGGGAAGGGCAAGGGGTCTCTGAAGAAGAAAGACTTCTCTAATTGCCCTCAAAGTTGTTAAGTTATTTAAAATCTAAGTTAAACAGAGGTTACTTTTTTGCCTAATTTTAAATGGTTGACTGAAGTTGAAACCAGGCAGTCTAACCCCTCATGTGACAACATTTCTGTATCGCTTGGAAATTTTTATATTCTGTTTTGACCTTATTTGGTGACTTAAGTTTAGAACATATATCTTTTTTATTAGTTTGATGATATTAACCGCATTGTTGATCACAAACGATATATTTTCCATGTTTTCACATACAAGTGGGTGGGATTCTGACAGATGGATATTTACCACAATCGCATTATACAGCGTCTTCTGTGTATTTATTAAAACTCACTTTCTGCTTTTAGGTAATAGCTATACATATTAGATTTATAACTTCAGATTTTGTTCTTAAAATTTATAAAATCGTTTATTAAGAATTTTCTTAAATGATGATTGAAAATTAGTTGCAGATAATTCTAGAAAAATTATGCCTTTTCATGGTATTCAACGAGCTCAACTCGGATTCCAGCTATATATGTTGGTGCAAACAAGTACAGCTCACATTACAAATTTACAACTAACAGATATTGTGCATATTTAGGACAAAAGAATTGCTTAATCTTGCAACCATGTGTCAGCAGCAGTCTTTTTATCAAACTTCTTGAAATTTTTGTATGTCAAGTATACTAGTGTTCTTTGTTTCATGTTACCTAATACATACTGAATTATTATTTGTACATTTTTAATCAACTCAAATTAATTTGTCAATTGCTAATTAATTGGAGTGATATTAGGATTATGGTTACAATTAATCAGAGGGTAATTTTAAAAAGGGGAGAGAGGAATAATATATGTAATAATTAACTGAAAAGTACTATTAATAATTTACCTGTATTTTCAAGCTGTTTAATGTTGAGAATTAGTTCATTTGGTTCATGTGATTAAATATGTTTCTTCTTCTCTTTCCAGTATGCTGTTTTCGTTTACATTATTTTTGTATTTCTGTAGGCGTTGATATGAAAAAGAAAATTAGAAAAAGATCGCTGTGCTCTTGATTTAGTTTTAATATTAAACAGTTTACTTTTAAAAAAGGTTTAACATTGTCTATATATTTCAAAATAGGTACAATTGTATTACATACTGTATTGAATAAAGTTAACTCCCAAATACTAGACGACATCTGCATTTATTGCTGTTATCTAAAGAAATGCTATTTTCTTTTTTGTGTTTTCCATAGGCAGTTTTGTTTTTCACTTATAATTTGGAATCTCAATTTTTCAACTGCTCTGCAGTAAACATGAATAACCTCCCCCCCCCTTTTTCGTACATTAACTAGTCTGTCCTTGGATAATTGGGAATTGACTGTAGTAATTATCATTATAGTTCTTTGAATCATAATTTATTTTCCAGATGTGTGGAAAATATCGACAGCATAAAGAGACGAATAATAATACTTCAGAGTCATCAGAGAGAGTTGAATTGCAATTTGAAACACCAGTCTTCATACTGTCGTTCCTTGGAACGTGAAATATATGCTTTAAAACCTAAACTTGTGCTTCTTTATAAACAAAAAGAGCAAGCTCAAATGTAAGCCTGCATTTTGTAAAGTATTATTCGTTTTTATTATACTATTATTTTTCAATTCTTCTGAATGTTAAAATAGAATAAATTTTGATGTTTTTACTTTTTTAGGCAATTAGTATCTCAAGGTATAACAAAAGAAAACATAAATAAAATACTTCAAGAACCTTCAAGTAGTAAAAAATGTAGCTCAAGGTGAGAATTTTTTTAAATTTTATTTAATCATATCATTAGATTATGTATAATGTTGAAAATTAAGATATTTTTCATAACTTTCAAATTAGAACTCTCTATAAAATTTTAATTTGCAAGTTATGAGAACATATAATATGTTGTAAATAAGGAATTGTAATTTTATTTTGAATCTAAATTACATATTTGTAAAATTGAGCAATAATTTATGTTCTTTGTAAAATCCTTACACTCACAGCTGTGTTCTTATAATGCAGGTGTAATCTCGTATCTACCATACGATTACTATAAGAAGACTGTGTGGTAGTTCATGTGCTTCAATAAAATATGAACAAGTTTTTGTATTGTTACAAATAATTGTAACCTTGTTATCTCATTTCATCCTTATGTCAGTTACAAAATTGCTGAGATTCTCCACATATTCATCTTTAAGATTGTTTTCTAATGTATCCATAATTTTTTATTAATTCTTAAAGATCCTATAATTTCTAAATTTTGCTTTGTCTTGCTTCTCTTGTTATTAGAGAAGAATCCTTATTAAATAGTTGGTATAGTACACATTTGACAAACATAAGTCTTGAGACTTGATTGTGAGTGACAGAACTTAATGCCACTAGTGTACATTCGTATGTAGCATCATGACTTCAAATCAAAAGCAGTACACATACTTCAAAAATAAATGTTAAATATTCTCTTTTAATTTTGCATAAACAAAATATCCTTAAACTCTATACATTTTTATTATTTACATAGAAATCTTAAAAAATTTCATTCTATATACCAGACATGTGCTTTGTAAATATTTAACATTACGGATATTTTGCTTCTACTCCTCTAGGAGCAGTTCCATCAAAGATTTGCCTCATAATGATGAGTGTACCTGGTTACTTGAGGAGTGTTCTAGAAATGATGCAGAAATACTTCTTGCTGGAAAGCCGAATGGAACTTTTCTGGTCAGAAATAGCCGAACTGGTGATTATGCTCTTTCCATTAAGTAAGTATTTTAATTTTCATTGAAAATAGTTTTATATTTAATTGTACCTGATATAATTTCATATCTATGCATCATTCATATCATTCATCATGTAGAAGTAATTGTAGACATGAAGTAGCTTTTCATAGTTTTATATTAACATAATATTTACATTTTTAGTTTAAAAGGATAATCATTTTAACAACAATATTCGATTACAGCTGATTCAAAAGTTCCCAAAAATCAGGTTGAAGTTAAAGTTCTGAATAATAATGCTAGTTGTACGATTTTCATCTGGTTTCTTTGTTGTAGAAACGCTTGAATCAATAACCATTTTCTTCTCCTTTTTTTTTTTTTTTCTTTTTCTTTTACCAGAATTGTTGGTAGTCTTGAAAATTTGAAGAAGAAATACATTTAATTATTACCAGAACAAAAGATTAATTCTAGAAATGTCTTATAAAATTAAAATTGACAGATGTCTCGAAGGTTACATAAATGTACTTTCTGAGGAAAATTATTTATAGTGACAAATTGTAAAGGTATAATACAAAAATCAGGATTATTGCATTTCAAACAAAGGTATTTTAAATATATTAAATTTAAAAGGGGAGAGGATCTGCTGGAAATAAAGGCCACAAAAGGGCTTCCTAAGAGTATTTGAACATGTGTAAATATCAAGAAAGTGAAGTCTTTGATACTGGGGGGGAGGGGAGGATTCTCGAACTTCCATTCAGAATGTGTTCTGATACTATAAGTAAAATCATTCAGATTTGAAGTTAAAAATGTTTAAACCTAAAGTACATCTGTTTTTGCCAAAACATATTATGGAAAGACAGACAAATTATAAAAAGATATGTGGAAAACATCTAGCTGCTGAAAAAAAAAATTTCTGTTGCTGAACTGACAGAAATTACCATACGAAATGCCTTTGTCAATATACAGGAAAGTTCCAAACAGGATTCATGATAGTTGCAGGATTTTGTTACAACAGCAAATTAAAACTAAAAAGTCACAAGTAAGGCCAATATGAATTCAATACTATCAGTAGCAAATTTTAGAACCAATTTTTTAAGAATTCCAAGCTAATATGGCATTATGGTAGAGCTAAGAAAAGGTTTACACTCGTGGAAAGTCAAATCGGGCTATAGCCAAGAATCAAGGCTGTCAGATATAAGCAAATGATGGCAAGAATTATGCCATTTATGCATAAAAATTATGAAAATTGTTTCCATAAAATGCAAATGACATTTTATAAAATATTGATATAATTAATGAAAATTAAGATTTTCACATTGATATCTTTGTTATTGTGGCAAATTTTTGGAAATAAAATCTTGTATTTTTCAGCATCTGTTCTTTTCTGTGCCAAAACTTTTCTCTGTTTGTGTGTTCATGATAAAATATAGATTTATTGAAAGCTTGGATTTTTAAACTCGTATTAAAAATTTTTACATTGTCAGCAATATAATTTATATACATAGGCCCTCCCTCTTCTTAACTGTGTGGATTCATCAGAGACTCTAAAGTAATATTTCTTTTATAGTAACTTGAAACTTACTTTAATTAAATTTCTAGTGTTATTATACTACTGTCTGTGAAAAAAAAATATGCTTTAATATAAAATAATGTTTCGGCTAAGTTTTGCATTTCCATCTTTTTAGTATCAGGTCACTCCATAAGTTTGTGCGCATTAAGAGTATGCATGGAATTCACTATGACGCATTTACTAAAACAATACAATTTTGAACTTGTTGAAACTTGTCATCATTTGTCTAACATATTATTCAGTCCATCACCAACTTTCGTAAATATCGAACACATTTTAGTACGCATAGAACATGAATATGGATAATCAGTACAAACATGCTGTGCTACATTTTTTATTTTCGTGTGGTGAATCTGCCAGGTTTTCAGCTATTAAAAATTAATAGTGTACATGGTGAACACACTATTGGTGTAAGGGACTTCCCAGAAATGGTTTAAAAAATTAAAAGTTGGGAAAAGCAGCATTGATGATGAACCCTGTTTAGGACATTTTGAATTGTTAGAATCAAATCATACGATTAATTTAGAAGTTTATAGTGAACAACTTTGCCATCTAAACTCGGAATTGATCAAAAAACACCCACGATTGGTGAATATGAAGAATGTGTTGTTTCATCATGATAATGCTAGACCGCATACAGCTCAAATGCTGCAAAAAATTAGTGAATTTAATTGGGAGCTTATGCCACATCCTGCTTACTCCCCAGATATTGCCCCAAGTGATTTTCACTTATTTCGTGCCTTGCACAATTTTTTACTGGGAAAAAAATTAAATTCTAAACAGGATGTACACAGTGAACTTTCAAATTTTTTTGCATCAAAACCAGAGTCTTTCTATAGCAATGGCATAAAAACGCTGCCTGTAAAATGGCGAGACAGTGTAGATAATGGAGAAAAATATATAGTTGATTAAAATGTTAAATTGTGTTTTTTTTTTATATTATTTAAAAATTTACCAAAAAAATGCGCACGAATTTAGGGACTGACCTAATATTAAAATGATCCTTATATCTTTTGGTAGGGTCAAGTTATACAATATATTTTCATATAAAGTGTATGCTAACTTCATGTGAGCTATTATAAACTAAAACAGGAAAGAAGAGAAACTATTAAGATAGTAAAAAACTTGTAGTGGATTTAATGGCTTTATGTTCGAGAAGCAGTAGAGGTCGGACTATTTTCAATTCTTTTTACTTCAATAAATAGTTAAACGAATTATAATTTCTTTATTATTCAAATTATAATTGAAAAACTTCTCTGAATCAAGTTATAATTACCCAAAAAACTACTACTCCTCTTCCCCAGTCTATTGCACTGTAAATTTATTGCAAATTTACTTGCTGTTTTAGGGATTTTCTAAAATAATGTTCTTAGAAAGTAGAAATATTATTGGTGAAGTTTGTTATGCCTTGTATTAAAATGTTTTTACTGAAAAGAATGTAAAATGCTAACTTAGCAAACCTGAACCTTTATGGTGCTGACATAGTTTTTCCAGAAGTTGACGGAAAGTTGGAGTAACTCTTATTATTTTTGCCCTGAACTGTTAATGTTTAACATTTAAAATTGTGCTGAATAAAGATTGCAGTTTAATATTAAAGAATATAGTTAGTCTGTTCTGTTAATTAACAATGTTGTCCTTTTTAATATATTTTATCTGTTTCTTAGAGTGAATGGCACAGTGGGTCACTGCTTAATACACAAGACTGAGAATGGCTTTGGGTTTGCTGAACCATATGATGCGCATCCTACTCTAAAGAGTCTGGTTCTTCATTACGCACAGACGTCTCTTGAGGAACACAATGAATCCTTGAAGACAACACTTACCTATCCAGTTTTCTGCCCAGAAAGTGAACAATACTTGAATTTGACAAGTTAAAATTTGGTTAATGCCAAATGTGATTAAAGTTTTTAAAAAAATTCTATAAAGTAAGCTTTTCCTGGCCTTTGTTGTTGTCAGCAGCTGTAATTTTTTTAACGTGGAAAGTTGTTTCACTTTCTGCCTGTACAAATGCATTTGAAACTTAAATCATTAATAGGTATTAAATGTGTATTATGTATTTTTTTAATTAAGAAACAAAAGTTGTGCTGCCAAATTCTGCTTTTTTGTTCCATAATTGCTGTATTTATCTAGTTTTAAATTTAATTTTATCTAGCTGCTGACTTAAATGTATGATATTCAGTACCTGATTTGATGATCTTTTTTACAATCTCCCTAACTTGGATGTTTTTTTTTTTTTTTTTGTGGGAGAATTTCTTCCGGCCAGAGAAAACTTTCAATTCAGGCAAGAGGTCTGAATTTTCATGTTGTCCAAAGAATGGTTTTTAATAATAATATCTTAACTGTGATAACTGTGGGCGCTTGGATGTTCCAATAAAAGTACTTATTGGTTTAAATAAATCAAATTTGCTGGTAGAATTTCATCACATGGTAGTAAATGCCAAAGGCATATAAAATGTAAATATTTTGCAATGAAAATAGTGCAACGTGGACTTATATTGCTTAAATTTGGTAGCATTTTGTATGAAAAGCCTAAATCTTTTCACTTTACATCAAACTACATAGTCAAGTGGTTCATATTTTCAGATACATTTTGTTCTCTCATTAATGAAACTGACATTCATATTGAAATTCTGTAGTGTTCATTTAAGTATCTTACTCTCATTTCTTCTGTGTTTAAATCTGCATATATTTGCTACATGAGATGTGGCAATTCTTGCTGATTAATAGCATTAATGCAGTGTTCGATTCATTTTTTTTAGATATGTATGCAGTAACAACATGTTCATAATCTGCAGATGGATTTTTGTTCAAAAACCATAAATGACTCACAAAAGTTGATTATGACTAGATTTTAGGTATAGTTCAAACAGATTTTTAAATGCACGTTTTCATAAATAAAGGTGTAAATTAGTTTTCTTTAAAATTAATGTTGTTATATTAAGTTGCTGATAGTGTTAAGAATTTAAAAAGTCATCTTTACAACTGTAAAAAATCTGCTTCATTGACTGTAAAAGTGTGAAATTCTAGAATTATAATTAGTGGAACTAATAGGAATTTTCATAATTGAAAAACTCCTCTGAATTGAAACAGTTTTTATGTTTCCTGGTGATAGAAAGGTATATTTAGTATTGTTGATTTTTAGATATTATTTGTAACATAAAATTCTAATAAAAGCTTAGTTGCTTTTCTGAAATTTACAGTGTATCTTTAGAAATATTACTAGTCATTACATATAAAATTCTATCTTAAGAATAGGTTTCACTTTATTGTTTTTTTTTTTTTTTTTTTTTTTTTTTTTTTTTTTTTTTACATAAAAAGTTCAGCTAAATTTTAGGATCATGTTTTGTTTTTAAGATAATTCCATGAAAAATTGATGTTGTGATATTGAGCTGTATATGTATTAAAACATTGGTGTTGATCAAAAATCATTATGGGCTTTACTGTTCTACATACCCAGTCTGTGTCAGTTATTCAAAAAGAATTCTGACAATGTCCATCTTTTTCAGAGAGTACAAAGAACTGTGGGATTTTACCCAGAAGTTTCATAAATATACTTTAATAAAAGGCTGTTTTTCATAGTTTGTGTGAATTTTTTTAATCATGTTTGCATATTTCCTTGTAGGTTTACTCTATAAAATAACTACAAACACCTTTCTTTCACGTAAGACTTAAATTTAGAGGGCAACAATTAGGGACTTGGAAAAAAATTGCTATTCTTCCTTGAATATATTTATTTGCTAAATTTGTAAATATTTTCAATGAGGGATTGAGGGATCTTCTTTGCTATTGATAAATAGTTTCATCATTAGTCTTCATTAAGCATATCTAATAAATACAGGAAATATTTTATTAGTGTGATTTAGAAAATTTTCTTTACATCACTTTAAATTAAAATTATCAACATTACACATATTGTTCACTGTTATTTCATTAAAAGTAATTTATATTTAGAAGATGGCAGTATTTGAGAATACAATATTAATATTAATTATTAGAATGATTTAATAATACAAATAATACATAGCAGCAATTTTAAAGGATGAGAAACCAAAAGGTTTTTCCCACTATGTGGTAACATTCATTGGCTGCAAAAGTGTTCCAAAATGACAAATTTTATATCAAATGCATAATTTAGATTATTAAACAGTTATAATTTGATTTTTAATGTGAAATGTATGAAATTTAGAATAATAAATTAAATATTAAGATATGTTTTTGAGCTAATGTCATGCAATTTTGAAACTTTAAAATAATGAATATATGAGTAATTAAAAAAATTAAATTTAGACTTTCAAAAGTACTGTTATTTTGATATAGACGGTTGAGAATTTACTCTGTATAGTTGAGTACATTTTACTCTGTACGGCCGGTTGAGATTTTACTCTGTGTGATTTTACATTTAGAAAGAAACAAGATCTTTCTTTCTCACAGGGTGATCATTGAGTAAATTGGCCATTCCTTATCTAGAATATAAACATTGGCCATTCCTGATCTAGAATAAATCAGATCATTGGCCATTCCTGATCTAGAATATAAATTACTGATCCGTTTTCTCAAGAAATAATATATTTCTTGAGTAAAACATCATATTTCTTCCTAACTGTGTAAGAGGCTGCCAAATCTTTCTCAAAATACACGAAAAAAGAACGGAGCTTAAAGTGATAATATCACAAGATATAGGATAGACTCGATAGACTAAGATAATGAATACTGAATAATTTCCTTGTTATTTGTTATAATATGGCCAGCTAGACGAAACAGTCATATCTCAAGTCTTCAAATTAGCATATAAGATCTTGTAAAGAAATTTCCCTTTTTAAAAATGCACAAGGTTATATAAAAATATAATAATAATAATAACTGGATTCTGTATCAATTACATACTACTTAGCGATAGAAAAATCCATGATAAATTAACAAAAAACAAATATTATTAAATTTGGATTAAATACATTTTAAAAAAAATCTGTCAGGCTAAAGAAAAAACTGTACTACGTTTATTGCTTTTAAATAGCTTAGTTTATAAATCAGAACTAGACAAATGTTTTATTTCTAATGCATAAAACGTATTCAAAAACTTATCCTTAACGGATTAAGTTGAAAATTAAATATCTTGCACTTTAACAAAGACAGCACAATAGTGCATTAATTTTATTTCTGTCTGTGGAAATATATTACTTTTAAGTAGCCAAGTCTGTTGATCAAGTTTAACAATGCATGAAATTTCTGATTCAAGAAAAACAATATTCCACATCAACATTCTAAATATCAATTGTGCGCATCGAAAATTTGCCATCGACCATCGATGAAACAATGCACTCAGTGGGGTGAAATATGCTTTAACTCACAACCCTTGGCTATAAAATTATCATTGGAATGTACGTTAATGACAGCCAAACACAAATTACGGCCTTCGGTCGATTTTTAAATTGGGTATATGTTAAAACACATTTTCACCCAGTCAGTGTTAAACCAATAGTAATAAAGTGAAGTATCATTGATTTGGTCACACTAAGTGTTTGTGCTTAAATGCACCCAGATTTATTAAATGTTCTAAAAAACACAAAAGTAATATCTGTTAACTAAAGAAGGAAGATACCCACCTAACTATTCTCTAGGGGATCTCGTGTAAGTAGCTTTCATAGACGTTCAGAAGTGCAGAAAAATACTCTAGAAGCCGAACCCTAATACCAAGCAGGCCCTATCAGTTATGGAAGAAAATTTTCCTCGTTTCAACAGTGGCAAAAGGATAATTATTACACGCCAGATCAACAAATATTTGCCTGACGTTCCGAAACCCAAAGTCTGAAACATGTCTAGTGAAGTCCAGGGAACAGCATCTTGGCTGCAATACCGACTCATTCTTTCCTTTAGAAAAATAGTTGCTGTATAAAGGAAATCAAATTGGCTCAGTCCATGACAGATAGACTAGTTGTAGGATTTAAGGTAGCTGAAATTTGCTGAAATGAACTAGCTGTGCAGGACTTTTACTAGCTTGATGGGTGATACACTTAGTGCATGGTTAGGGCAAAAATTCCAAAAGCGTGGGTAAATATTTCAACTCGTAAACACCCACTGAATCATAATGATCCAATTTCTAAGAGATTAAGTTTAAAAAATAAATAGCTTGAACTTTGCCGAATGGTAACATACTGGAGCATGAAAGTGTTTCATTTCGAGGAATAGTAACACATTACATTTCATTTGCTGAGTTTTTGAATCAAACATTCATTGAAATCACACAAGATCCAAATAAATAAGAAAATTCAAAATTTTAACTACAAAATGCACATGTTCAGGTGGAGGTCTATGCTTGTTCAAAATTTGATGGCTCTGGGTACCTCTGTTTTGCAAAGACAAAACATGCTTAGCACATACAGATTCTTCATTATTTCTTATAAAGCATAAAAGCTGCTATAAAAATATGTTTATGTAAATTTAAATTTGCTTTGAAAAAAAAGTATTTAATAAAATTAATTTTTCTTATTCAAAGCCAGTACAACAAATAAAATTGTTCAAATAGTAATAAAAGAGTGATCATTTAGGAATAAAAAGCAAATTGCAGTTGTGTGGGGAAATAAATTATAATATTTATAAATTTCTCTTGTGAGTATTTAATAACAATTAAAAGAAATTTTCAACTATAAGAGCTTTTAATACGAGACATAGTAAATAATACATTAATATTTTAAGTGACCATAAATGTAAAACTTTTCTTCTTCTTTCACGTTAAGAAACAGAATTTGTGTGTGATAAAAGTAACAAAAATGAGAAGTTTTAGAAATTTTCTAATCTTCCTTCCTCTTCAAAAAGTGAATTTAAATGTAGATGTTGGATCAGGCTCCTGCGAAGTACTAGCTCCTCCAAAATTCAGAACAAAATCTTGTTTGCTGGTGTCATCATCTTTTTCATTTTCTCCTGTGAAAAGTGAGAAAAAGTCTGGTGACTTAGCTATATTAGGTAAATCCTTTTCGAATGAAAACATTGACTGTTCAGTGCCTGCTTTTACAGGTGGAGAAGGCGAATCATTTAAATAATTCTCATAATCTAAAGATAAAAAGTCTTTCTTCTCATCATTTGTTTTCTGGTTTGTGGATCTATCATTTTGGTCACTTGTGGAAACAGTAGCATCAAAATACGACATCATATTAAAAGCATCGTCTTTAACATATTGGCTTGATGATGTTCCTTCTAAATTAGCCTGTTTTAATACAGTAGATTCCGTAGGGAACATTAGACGAGAGGGATAAACGAAACGTGGAGATTGTTTCAATTCTTTCAACATTTCCATGTGTTTCTGAAGATCAAAAGGACTGTATGGATCATTTCCATTTCCTTCAGATATTTCAGATTTCCCATGGCGATCGCTTTTGCAACTTCTTGAACTTTTCGCTGAATAATATGTGGAGCCAGAAGAAAATACCATTCCTCCGCTGATAGGCGTTTCTGGTGATCTTGTAATTTTTTCGTTAATTTTCAAAGGGTCAGTTTGAGAATATTCTATCTTGTTTAAAGCTGCTTTATTCATATCTGTCAAGGTGTCTAACTCCATTTCATTGTCTCGATTTGAAGCATTAGAAACATTTTTATTAATAGATTGTTCCTGAATAACAGGACTTCCTTTGAAAACTGATGATGTTTTCTTAAGGTCATTCTCAGTTGCACTTCTTGTAGTGTAAAATGAGGCAGGAGACTCTTCTGTAATGTCTAAATCCTTTTTATTCATTTCTGAAGATTCAGTTTGAGAAAGATCTCTTTTACCTGAAGAAACTACGTTAGTTTTATTTTCCATGTCATCTAATTGCATTTGATGATCTTCGTTTGGATTTTTAGAAATATCTTTGTTAAAGAACTGCTCATGATCTATTGAAATGTAATTTTTTAGTATTTTATCGCTTTCTGTGGAACTTTCACTCTGTGGTACTTCATTTAATGATACTTTAGATAAGTTATCCTGAAACTGTTGAGTATAAACTTTTTTTGTCTGAGAGTTGTCTTCCTTATCGTGAGGTAAAACTGTAAGATCTTCACATTCTACCTGCATATTAGCATTAATGATGTTAGGATTTCCTACTATCGTATGTAAAACATTTTCTGTTTGCATAGTTTCTATATCGTCTTGCTTATGTTCATCGACTACTTGCATAATCGTATTGTTAATTTCTATGTGAGCATCATTTATGTGCATGCTCTCAGTGCCTGTCTGCATACAAGCATTATTTATTTGCAAATTCCTACTTTCTTCCTGCATGTGATCGTCATCTGTTTGCATAGGCTCCTTGTACATATGTATGGGATCATTTGTTTGTTTTTCTATGTGAATGTTTGATTTGTTATTTAAATCTTTGCTTAATTGGGTAATGATATTTTTATCTTTGGAGTTAGGAGGCGTTTTCAGGCTGAATTCCATAGAGTAAAGAGTATTTTCATTTATATGCGGAAAATCACTTGCATTTGAATTCATTGTTTGACTACTTCTAGTTTTGAAAACTTCGTCTTTTGACTGTTCACGTGAATTTTCTTCTCGTAAACTTGGATTTAAGCATTCAGAATCCATTAAAGATGATCTATTCAAGTCTGATGTCTCATTAAACTGCTGATGATTAGTTTGAAATAGAGTATTTCTAACGGTTTGTATTTTATTAGTATCTTCATGTTCGATTTGAGATGAAATATTTGTGGCATTTTGCATTTTATAAATGTAATCTTTGTTTCTGTATTCATTTTTTATTGAAGAAGACTGTTCTGAAAACTCAAAAGTCTTTCGACCTTCAATATTTTGAGAATTTTGTGCGATTTCTTGTTTATTTTTCGATTTAATTTTATATACAGTATTTTGTTCTATGGGTTTTAATGTTTCTTCGTATAGCTGACGCTGATAACCGAAGTTTTCTTCTGTGCTGTGGTTGAAATCTTCAGAAAACCTTGAGAGCGATTTTTCACTTTCTTCTGTATTCGTATTTTGCCGTAAGAACGCTTTCTCTGTATTTTGTTGATATTCAGCATCTTTTTGTGATTCTGCATGATACGTAGTACATGAAGATCTGTTTAAATTTAACAATAAACTATTTGTAGGGATACGTACTTCTTCAATTTTTCTCTCAGTATCAACCGTTGGAGCATACATCTTAAATCTTTCCATCCATTTAGACATAGTTGCTTCTTCCTGTACCAATTTTTTTCCTACTCTTGTAGTTTCAGTATCATATATTTTTGAATTACTCTGATACGGCTTGCATAAAGCTGCACTGCTTTTTCTAAATGTACTGATTTTGCCAGATGTTTCAGTAATGTTTGACGAAACGTGTTGCGTCTGCAATAATTCTTTTTCAGGCTGTTGGAAACTAACTGCTTCAGGACGATTTTCTTGTAGTGCATTGCAAGTCATATTTATTTCTAACTGAGCTAATTTCTTCTGACTCTCTTGATACTTTAAAGAAGTTATGTGCTTCTCCAAATCTAAAATTTCCTGCGATAACTGCATTCTACAATTTTCTGTTTTCTTTATAGCCACATAAAGTCCTGCTATACGAATTATAAAGTACTCTACTGGATAGAAGCCGTTTTCTTCAGCATTTCTTCTGCTTCTTTCGCATTTTGCTTTGAATATATCTGCCTGGCATTGTCTCAGTTCGGATTTAACATTCTTCAAATTTTCTTTCATTTCCTCAAGCTCTAATTGTGCTTTTATGTTTTCTCGAAATGCTGGGTTTTCAGAATATAAGTCTTCATACCGTTTCTGCCACATCTGCTTGTAAAAAGAAAGTTTACTGGAAATGCTCTGTCGCTGTTGCTCGTTTTCGTTTGCTAGCTTTCTCTCTTCCCTACGGAGACTATCAAGATTTCTTTTGAGCTCAAGGTTTGATTTGTCTAGGAACTTTATTCGATTTTTCGTGGACTCTAGATGTTTTTCAATGTGCATATGTTTTTCGTTTAGACGACTTATTCTGTCTTTCGATGCTAATATTTCTTTTTCTTTTGCTTTTAAAGTTCTGTCGTATTCTTCTATTTTTTGGTATTCAACATTTATTTGTCTTATTAGTTTACGTGTTAATAAGGAGATATCAGTTTCTAAACATCTGTAGCTTTCTTCTATTGAAGCAATGTTTTCAGCTTCCTTATGACACAAGAAAAGAATGGATAAGTTTTTTCTGCCTATATATACAGTATGCATAAAATATACAACCAATTTAAATACTGCATTAAAAAACTAACAGTCATTTTATATAAACTTTAAATTATTTTAACTCATTTATTTATAATTATTACTTTGAACAGAAACGGGAGATAGACAAATCAAATTGGAGAATAAAAAGAACTACTGCAAAATTAAAGTTAATAATTTTGACCTGCATATTTTATATCTAACATACATTACATAAAGTTGCACCTTAAGAGCACTTTCTGTGAAAATGATTTTCATTTTAAAACGAATGGAAAAATAAAATCTTCTACTATGGCTGTTTTAAATCACTTATAAATTGTTTAAAATATATTTTTTGGACTGCGTCTTTCCATTTCATGCTTACTTATGTAATCTCCCTGCGTGTACTAAGTGTTCTGTTAGTTTTTTGAATTTAATTATAATCTTTAATAGATGCTCTGTATGGTCTATAAGATGCAGAACATTCTGAAGTCATTATTGTTACGAATTTTGTACACAGATAGATGGTTTTAGTGCAATTATATACTAAATTATTGTATTTTGGGGGGGGGTGTAATGTAACATGAAAATCTAGAGAAGCTAAGCTTTCCGGAAGAGTAATTCGTTTAAAACTCGGTGTTAAATAGACTTGTCCATACAGGGGCAAGTCTATTTAACACAGTAAATACAACATTTTTCAGAAACGTTCCAGGACAAAGGTCGTAAAAAAATAGTTGCATTTACCAAGTAATGATCCTAGCTGCTATCAAAGTAGTCCGCTTGGCTATCTATACACAACTTCCAACGTACCTTAAAGTCTTGGAAGCAAGCAGGGAAATTTTCAACTGTGTTGCTTGCAAGCTCATTTATCACACCCCTTTGGATGTCTGCAATAATCTTGATGAAACATTCAGTCACCTTTTCACTCCCGAAAACAATGACAAACCACAATAATCTTTGACGCAAATGTGTGATCATGTCTGGCTCTATCCAATAATTTAGCAGAAATTCTTCGTCTTTCCTCTTTCTGGTCATCTGTTAGTGATTGAGGGACGATTCTTGCATTAAGTTTGTTTCCCTAAATCTTCGCGTAAAATCTTATGACACACATCGGGATTCAAATCCAGTTCATCTAATATCATGCGCACAGTTATATGACTTAATAATAATAACTTGCAATAACTGCCTTATAAGCTCCCCCTTTGCGTCGGTATGTGCTATAGACGTGTCTTGCGTCTTGCACTGAATCTCTGCCTTCAGGAAACCTTTTGTGCCACTCGAAAACACGACTTCTTCAAAGTGCCTCGCCTGCATATGTTTGCTTAATCATGTTTCACTAGGGGTTTTCCCGAACTTAAAGCAGAACTTAATGTTCACTTTGATCACAGTCAGCATCCATTGTGTCACCTTAACGAATGCGACAACAATCCGAACAGTTGTGTTGCTAAGCACAGCTCTGCCACCTAGTAAGTTCGCGTTGAAACATGGCCAAGGTCATGTCAAGTAATAGTACATACCAGGTAACATTAAAAAAAATAAATAAATAAATAAAATACTTGTTCCTTTTTAGTTTTGCAAACTGAGAAATTTTTAAAAAAAAAATTGTCCTGGAACTTTTCTGGAAAAAAGGTGTAGCTATCTCGCTAGATGGCGAGATTTCGCCAAGCTGGCAACGGTTTTAGCCACTAATTTTGTTCGCCAAAAGTCTCCAAACTTAGTTACATTTGGGATCTGTGCCTGTATCACCATAATAGGTACTGAATAAATATAATTAATCATTATATTAGCTGTAACCGTAATACGGCCGTCATATGCCTTCCGCCAATTTCGAGAAGCAGAGAGTTCTAGAAATATCTTGGCAGCCGGATGAAAACTATATGAGACCAAAGAGAGAACATCTGCTCTCAATTTGGTACTTCACTGGTAGTCGGGGTATTTAAGATATCTTCGAGTTAGCTTAGCTCATTAGATGCGCTTTGCATTGCGTTGTGTTTAATGCTCACAGTAGTTTGAAGTGTAACTAGTGATTATACTCTGTGATATTGTGATGTTTTGACGACTGTTTTTGTGGATTGATAACGACTGTTTTTGTGGAAAGTTCCAGATCTCTGAAGTGTTTCTTTTGATAAAATAAATTTTATGAACCTGTCATCAGAGCTGTGTGTCTTCAATCTATTACGAACCCGTACGCAAAACAATATTATTTTTGGAGGTTCAATATTAAGATAACCACGTCATATTTACTTTTCTCAAATATGTGACTATAATTATTTAATAACTCTTTTGACTATTTTAATAATGGTCATTTACACAAGAATTTTCACAGTCATTATTTTCAGCATTGTTATAACAGTCTTTTTCATTTTCAATACTTTCGCATACATATGAGAACTTACTCTTAAAAGGATTATTTTGTTGTACACCATTACTTGTCATCCACTGAAATTGATACATCTCATAAATATTAAAATTCAGTTGCAATTTACACAGAGAAACACAAGATGGAGCCAATAATAATTTAAACGAGGAATTTACAACATAAAATATTATTAGTTAATCTTCCAATTTTGTATGATGATGTATTTAATTTAGTGACAGGAAAGCATCCAGATAAAGCTATAGCTTTTTTGGAGTTTCAGTCATAAGAATTTTAAAACGATTTGTACAGCTTGGAGTATTCTCAGAAATTACATTAACCTGACTACCTAATACACTTTTTATATTCTTAAGCCAAACTAGAGCATCACGATCAGTACGTACAGTGAAACAAACAAATAGTAAAAAATTTCATCGATAGCATCAATAGTAGATAGGCATTTCAATTTAGTAATGGTATAATTTCTTACATAAGATCTTAATTTTCGAGAATGGAAAGCTGTAGGCTGTAAATTATCATATGGATGCTCTTGTTTTAAAACTGCACAACAGCTTCTTTAGATGTATATACAAATGCATGACAGGGATATTTTGGATTAAATATTGTTAAAATAGGTCTGAAAATTAAAGCATCTTTTAAACTTTAAAAAGAAATATAATATTCAGTTGTCCATTTATATGGAGTACAGATATAAAACATGAGACTCAAAATTATTTAGTTTATAAGGTATTTCTCCCACCTTCTTAGCATGCCTTTGTGGTGTAGTAATCAGCACGCTCGGTGCGTATTCGAGAGGTCCGTGGTTCGAGTCCCGGCGAGGGCATTACTCATTTTTCACTTCTGCATCAAAAATAACCTAATGTCCCTACAAGTTTGCAGTAATCATTTTATTCATTATTTTAATTTGGCTGTCTCTCTTTCTTGTTCTAATTTCTGTATAATAATTGTTCTGTGCTGTGCTTTTCCATTTCATGCTTGCTTACGTAATATTCCTGCATTGTGACAGCTCATATCCAGTCGTAAACCCAGTATTTAAATAATGAAATTAAGCCTGTAAATACCACTTGAGCAGCCTTTTCTCCTCCACTCTCTGTGCAAACTTACGTTGCTCAGACATTGTCTAATGATGTGATCAGTTTTGTGAAGGGTGCTTATCGCACCCAAAAATGATGTGCGGACATATTTATGCTTATCAAGAATGTCCATGAATGAATTAATATACATTTTTTTGGTAAAGTCTGTTTACGTTATGTCATCTTATGGATCTACGCATTAGAGCCTTTCCAAGCAATTAAAATCACATCTCAACGCTAATAGTTATCATCTAATCCCCAGGTCATCTATGCAAAAATTATTACACACACACAAAAGTTTTATGTAGAGGGAGGAAGAAAATAGCTTATATACTCCCTCTTTTAAAGGGCGACTGGGGACCCAATCGCAAAATCCTGGTAAGGGCAAATGATTGTTCATCACCGTTTAGTTCGGGCAGTACTGTAGAGTCATTAGGTTGCTTTGAAGCAGGAGACATAACAAATGAGCAATGCTCTCGCCGGAACTCGAACCTGGACCTCTCGAATACGTGCCAAGTGTGCTATCGTTACACCACGAAGACATGCTAGAAAGAGGTAAAAGTTATTGCTTCTAACTCGGTCGCATCGGACGTAAAACTCCGTCGATCTAACGCCTCGTATCCTCTTGGCCGAGAAGCGCACCACTTAAGAGGTCGCTCGACGGTGGGAGAGACGATGCTAAAAAACGTTAGGACGGTAAAGACGGCCGTAACCTTATAAGGTATTTCTCCCACTTCTCTAGCGTGCCTTCGTGGTGTAGTGGTTCTGCACGCTGGGCCGGTATTGCAGAGGTCCGTGGTTCGATTCCCGGCGAAGGCGGTTGCATATTTTTCATCTTTTCTGCTTCCAGTTAACCTAATGACTCTACAACCTCAGAAATGAAATATATATATGATATATAAAAAATGGCTTTGCGGCAAAAATGATGATATAAGATTCATATTATTCAGCCTTCGTCTAGTCCTTTGACATCAACAATCGTCTCAATTAGGCAGAAAGACGGTTTCATGCGATTTCGTTTCAGTTATAGAAGTTTAAATCAGTTTCATGAAATTTTTATGTTTACTGTAGAAGCTTAAATGACATTACAAAGACAGTTAACCTTTGCCTAAAATCAACGACACCTTACACATGCTAGCAGGGGACAAATAATGGTTTTTCACTGCAGATTTCAAGAGCAGCTACTGATAAGTGGAAATAGATCCTAAAGAAGCTGAAAAGCTCATTCAACTAAATACTGCGAGAAGACCGCATTTACTAATAGTACAGAAATCTGGCAGTTTAAAGTAATGCATTTTGCATTGTGTAATGCTCCAGCGATTTTTGAGAGCCCCAGAGAAACAGTTTTGAAAGGACTGCCGTATGAAGCCTGTCTTTTGCATCTTGACGATATTATTATAGTTGGATGAGCTTTTGGGGGACTTTTAGGAAAATGCAAAAAGGGCTAAGGAAGCTTATAGAAGCATTAGTTTTAACAGAAAATTAGCTATCTTTTTCATATCATCTCTTCAAAAGTGTAAGCATAGGTCCTGAGAAAATCAAAGCCTTTCATGACCGTCGTCACTCTTAAGACATTCATCAGTTAAGAAGCTTTCTCGGCCTCTGCATTTATTAGCGAAGATTTTAAATTGTTACAGCCGAAAACATCGCGAATGAAAATATCGCGGAGAGAAAACTACGAAACGTTGACGTTAAGTGAAAACGTTGTGGAACAAAACATCGTGGGAGAAAATAAAGCAAAGAAGAAACATCACAGCTCTAAAATGTCGTGGTACAAAATATCGTCGTCGAAAATAAAGCGGTTCAAAAACTTCGTCATCGAAAATATTGTGGTACAAAATAAAGTACCTACAAACCATTCCATGCTGATAACATCGCACACATGCGTTTTTCAGGCTTTAGTTATTGTATATGGATATTCTCATAATAATTTGTGAGCGCAAGATGGAAAGAAGGATAATTTTTAGTTTCATATCTTTTATTAACTAATAAATTTTTAAAACAGAACAAGAAATTTAAATAAAAGAAGAAAGTATCAGATTAACAAAAGTGAAGAAAATAATCTCACGATTAACTTATCAATTTTTTATAGATAAAGTCATGCAGTTACTTACCTTCCTTTTTCTATTCTTTTTTAGGTTATACTTTTCAAGAAAAATTATCAGTAAAACTTTATAAAAAATAATTCATTAATGACCTTTGTTAGTTAACTATGTCAGTTTAGAATTCTATTAAGTGCTACAAGTTGCATTAATTTTCTATTCTTAAATTTTCATTTTACATTTTCAACAAATATTTATTAGTTAATAAAAAAAATATGAAAGTAAAAATTATCCTTCTTTCCATCTTGCGCCCACAGATCATTATGCGAGTATCCTTTTACAATTATTAAAGCCTGAAAAGTTATCGGCATGCGATGATTTGTAGTTACTTTATATTTTACGACGATGTTTTCAACGAAGATGTTTTTAAACTGCGAAGTTTTTAAACCATCTTATTTTCAACGACGATAATTTTGTACCACGATGTTTTAGAATTGTGATCTTTGCTTTATTTTCTCCGACGATGTTTCCTTCCACGACGTTTTCACCTTGCGTTGTTTTCTCAGCGACGTTTTCGGTCCAGTTTTTTTGCCGCGATGTTTTCGGCAGACACTAGGTAAACGTCTAGTGCTAAGCTGACGATGGTTTTGGAAAATCACTTTTATCTCCAAATTTTGCGACCATTTGGTGACATTTTTTTTTTTTTTTTCTGATCGTTGTGTAACAGTAATTAGTCAGATCACTATGTTATTCTATCTGTATTCAACCCTTTGTGTAACTCTATGTGTCTTCCAGTAGTTTCAAGAAACGTCGAATACAAAATCTTTTCATGTTCTATCAGAATAACGATCCTAAACAAACAGCCCTAAACGTTCCATTTTGGTTATTATATAACTGTCTTCAAGTTATCAAAACTCATCGATACTCTCCGGAATTAAATCCTGACAAACATTTATGGAGTAAGATAAAAGGGTACTATTCGGTTTTGAGGGCCGTAAAAAATCGCCAAACTAATTGCTGATGCCAGTGTTGCCAAAAATAGTTGCGACAACCCTAACGCAAGAAAGGAAGTATAATAGTAAATAACTATTTAAAGATTATTGTTTTAATTTAGATGAAAGGTTAATTTCATATAATACTTTTTTATTATTATAATTTATATAAAATAGGCTAAACATGACTGAATGATAGCATAAGAGTAAATAACTATTTCAGATCATTATTATAATTTATATAAAAAAAAAGCTAAACATTGCTGAAGGGATTCCTGCATCGCTATTTCGCTACCGAGTTATCCATAAAGCATAATTTCATCTCTTTCTATAATGAATGATGCCTTTTCTTTGAAAAAATTCTCACACTTATTTGTTTGCCAAAGGTAAAAACAATTGGATTTTTGTCAATGTTCTTTTACTTTTTAAGTGAAAATAGGTTGATGTGTACATAGATAAAGTCAAGAGTGTGCGCAGTGCCATTTTTGTGCAATTCTGTTTTTTTTTTTTTTTTTTTTTTTTTTTTTTTTTTAAGTGAAAATAGGTCGATGTGTACATGAATACTGAGTATGTGCAATTCTTAAAAACGTGTCAAGCAGTGGGGGATTCTGAACTTTATCCAAAATTCTCTTGCAGACTTTTCATCATGGGTAACTCCCAAATTGTTAAATCCATAGGATATCAAAAAAGAATTTTAAATCAAAAAAGGATTTAAAAATTAAACTAGAATTTCAATGGCGTCTTAAGAAACATAGAACTATATAAACTTACGCAATCTGAAATCAGCGCGTACACTAGATTTGAAGCGCTGTTAAATGGGCGCGTTTGCTAGATTTGGCGCTTTTGTGCATACATTTTCGCTGCAATTTTTTTACGGTCCTCAAAACGGAATAATACCGATAAAAGAATAAGGAAATGCAATATCTCTTCTAATTATTAATTAATTGTAATTATGGAAATACAATTCTCCAATACAATGTTTATAATTATGGAAATATAATTTTACATAATTACAAACGGATCTTACGGAGGATTGGAATAAGCTGTATAATTCTTGGAGGAAGAAATTAGTTTTGAATCCGCGTCAAAGCGCATGAAACATAGAATTTTAACTAACGGATATTCAACGAAAGATTGAATGCTCCGTTATGTTGATATTTTTATTAAATATAAATTGTTTGCTGAAAGTGTCCAAACACTTATATGAATTGATTGTCGGAACATTTAAATATTTTTTTTTTCCTTAAAAACGTTTTGAATAACTTTTTTCGCATTAAGCAAGTTTTAAAGAAGATAATTAAAAGTATATGCGAAAGAAAAGCAGCATCACTTCGCTTGTAATTAATAACTGATATTTACAAACAAAATTGAGGCAAAAATAGTGTTCGAAAACAAATGTGAGGCACCGTACTTGGGTTTCAGCTTCAGAAATTTCTGAATAAATTATTATTATTATTATTATTATTATTAATAGCAGTAGTAGCGATTACCAGAAACATTTTAAATAATTTTGTTTTCAAAACAAGCAGTATTTAAAACTGGTGATGAATAAAGTAGGCACTGCTTAATGTAATCAAGTTTGCTCGCGACTAGAATTAAGCGACGAATAAAAATGCCCTTAAAACCAGAAACATTAAAAGTTAACGAATGCAATATAAATACCATAAATACCACCAGAAACATACAAATAGGTAATACTTATTTTAACTAGGAAAAGCTAAAAATGTGTTTATCAGCTGTTCACAGTGTCTTTACGTTCATTTACTACGTTCTTTACGTTCAACTACTCATAACGTTTTTGGAAATTATTTGACCGACACTGAAACTCTAATACTTGGAAGTCACCCGTCGCTGAAAAAGGAACATATTAGTGTAAAATTTTAAATTAGGTAAGAAAAGCAACCTTAGTAGATGATTTTCATGGATTTTTTAGGAGTAAAGAAAAGGGAGAAAGAATTCTGCAGATTTTTTTTTTTTTTTTTTAAATCCTGAAGAAAACCTGTGTTTGATCGCCATCGAAAACCGATGGTGTTGTACAAAATCTATGTCAAATTTAAGTTTTATTTTTGTTTATTTAATTTTAAATTATTAATTAAAATGGTATTTTAGAGACTCAACTCCTTACTAGGCAACATTACTTTGTTACTTGCCAATTTTTGTAATCTTTTGACTTTTTTCAGCGACTTTACTTCAGGGTAAAAAATTTATTATAAATGTGTTGATCACATAGATAGGTCGATCACATTAGGTGGCTTCTGCTGTAGTATAAGTGAAAGAAGTGGTAGCGTTCTTCAAAAATGAAATAATTTGTTCAAGCAGCGTAAAAGAACAGAAATAAAACTAGGCCTAAAACTACTTACTGTAAAATTCAATTTGTATCAATATCTTTAACAATATCTTTATCAATATATTTAACAATAGATCTTTTATTTCAACCTAAGCTGTTACAATTTATTTTATTCGCATTAAAATAATTTTAAAATATACTAAATTCATATTGAATACATATTCTTTCTTTGTTTCGCTGCAAAATAAAATAACTTTTTTATTATAATTCTTAATATTAATACTAAGTATTATTACACACTTCAATAAAATTGTAAAGATAGTATTACAAAATTCAATTATTTTCTGTAGTAATGAATATTGATGCAAATATCAGTTATATAATAATATAAATATCATAAATAAATATGTTACCATTTTTTCTGTTTCATCAAAATAACTCTTTTAATCAGTTACAATCCATATAATCCATTCCTTATTTTATTCTTTCTCTATGTCTATGTCTTATCACTTAGTAAGAGGTAATTATTGTTTCGTATTGATTTTGATTAGTATCGCCTGCGTAGCACTGTACTGCCAGAAGAATAATTTATCTTTAAATTTTTCCTATCAGCCGTTTCTTGTGGAACGGTGTTTGTTACACCTGGATGCTTAGGCTGACGTCTTACCCCAAATCGAACATAGTTGAAAGTTTTGAAATATTTTAGAAAGTAACTTATTTGAGATAAAGTAATATTTTTTAATTTAAATTTTGAAAAACATTCACGCACTATAAATTCAAGCCTCAAAGCTGTCTAAATGAATCTATGTAATAAAGGTAATTTTGAATCAATAGGTTCTCAAGTGGTGAACAAATACATACATTGCACACGAGATATAAATATACATGTGATGATAAAATTTAGTTTGGCAGTCGGGAACTTTTGAAGAATCACAGTAGTATAATAATGACAGTTCTGCGACAAGTGGAGATGTGGAGCTGAGAGGGCGTGGCCAATGACGTCACAGGTACATCATGCAACGTCATTAATGACATCACACCAAGGAGGCGTGAGCAATGACGTCACGAGTTGAGTTGTTTTAGATTGCTGGTTGAGTTGTAGACCTTCTGCTTTTCATTTAAAGTTAAGTTTTTTTAAATTGGCAAAGGGGGTATTTTTCGCATCTTAATTTTGATGATATGGCAGCATCTCCATTCTACAGAAACCCAACTGAAAGCTTTTCTTCGTATGTTGTCACATGCTTAATATTGCTGAGCATGAAAAAGAAGTGTAGCATCCTAGATAATAAATCTTTCAGCACCCCTAATCTACATTAAGTTGAACTTATACCTCATAATTTGAAATCGCTTTTAAAAATGCACAAAAATGTGCTCCTGATAGCTAAGTAATGTCACAAGACAAGTTGATATCAATCATAGGTGATGATTAAAACTGTTTTTCACATTACGATCATTAGGAAATAAATATTCGTTAAAATGAGAAATTCATTAAATCTCCTCCCGCCCACACCCTAAATTTCAGTTAATTTCTGCTACTATCTGAACATTTTCTTTGAATTTATCTTGATGTTCTTTGTGAGCGGGCAGAAAGACCTTAAACTACATTATAACTAATTTGCCTTGGAAAAAAAAAAAAAAAAAAAAAAGTTTGTGTTCGTACGAATCGTAATATGAATTGCTTATACAGACTGATATCGAATGTAAGGCACCCTCTGCATCGAATAGGTATGCCTATGAAATATTTAAGAAGTGCTTATTCTGATACTGCGGAATGTGTCGAAATTCCATCCGTTCCATCTTTTTTAAAATTGCCACCTAAGTTAAATGAAATAAAGCAACAGAAATACGATTACTTTTTAGTTTTAGATTTTGAAGCTACTTGTGACTCCCCTGTGAATGCAGTACCTCAGGTATGAATGAGTTTTTTGAACTAATCAAATTATTTCGCAATTGTTATGTTACACCTGTATTTTAATATTAAACTACAAAATGTAATTTAAAAACATGAAAGTTTGCTGAAGTCATTTTCTGTCGTGATTAGAATGATAAATTTGTTGGAAAATTGGTATTTTAAATAATTTAAACATTTTTTAGGTTAGGAAGTAGTTTTTTTAAGTGTGTATTTGAAATACTGTAAAAAAGTTGTGTCAGCCCATCATTCTAGGACATTTTCATCCGCAGAGAACCCGTTGGCGCCGTTGCATTTTTACTCGCCAAGCTCGCGGTTCATCGGCGATGAGCCGAGCCGCAAACGTGATATTTTGTAAAACATGATTTGTAGTGCATTTAAATTCAAGTTAGCAGACAAAACAATATATTAAGCATATGGTAGTAAAAATTCACAGATAATAAGCATGTAGATGTAAAACTAACTGGTTAAACGTGATATACTAAATAAATTTGTATTAAATTCAAGTTAGCGCAGAAAAGAATATATTAAGCATAAGACAATATATAAGCATTTATAACGGAAATAAAAATTCATTTGAAAAATATAAATTAGTATTAATGTACTGAAATTAACCGGTTAACGTGATAAACGAAAAAAATTTGTCTTAAATTCCAGTTAACACAACAATATATTCCTTACACCAGCAATGTTTTGCTAATTTTGATGACCATGGTGATGCATCAAACTATTCTGTCATCTTAGATAATCAATAATATTTTGTATTTCAATTTAATCATCTATTTATGTCACACCTGCCATCCTCTGAAAGGTTATTGTTAGAAAAGCATTAACAATATATTATCTTGTTAAAATTTTACGCCAGAAAATTGATTTATTCTCGTAATTTTAGATGACAATAACCAATAATATAAATAAGAGCATTACTTAGTTATTTAAATTGCTGGTTCTTAGAGCTGTTAATAATTAAGAACACAACGTGAACAGCCGTGTTACAAATGAGCATTCACCCCTCCCGCCGTATTTTCTTCCTTTCATCCCGAAACGAGAACCGGCATCTATCTACGAAAATATTTCTATCTATTCGTTGTTAAAAAATTCAGAAAAAATAATAATAAATAAGAGAAGAATAATATAAATCTGCAAATGAGAACAACGACAGTGATAATTCAACAAAATGAACACAAGAGATATGGTTGCAAACTTCGAACAAGCGAATACGATAAATCCGCTGGGTTACCAGGTTTGAACTATTATCGCCAAAGTTGGCGATGTTTACATTTACCGGGTTGTCTGCGGAAGTGCTTCCCAGTAAATATTTGTAAAAATATATATATGTATGACATAAAATATGTAAAGCAAGTTTCTGATTTTAATTGCATAGTTCATTTATTCCTTATTTTAATTTTTCTTTCTGTCCTAAAAATATGGCTAATATTTGTAATATATAACATATCAGTCCAAAGTGCATCATTTCAGAATCAATCTGTTTCGTGCCATCTCATCCAATATGCAGCAATGCAGGTATTTTATAGGTAATCAGGTGAAAGATTTCAGTTGCAAATCAAAACTTTTAACACTCTTGGAGGCTTCTGCTGAATGCATATTCATTCTTCTGCTTTGCTTGCTTTATGCTAGGATATTGTCGCTTGCCTCTCTAGCATCCATCGTATGTCTTAAGATGTAAATTTCAAAGAATGTGTTAAAAATGGGAGCCATATTGCATTTAGAATGTCTAGAAATGAGACTTCAAGAATTTCATTTCTTCTGTATCGAAACTGATGAGTTAATTTCCATCACCAAACTCTGTCTGAAACAAACACATTTAGTGGTTGACTTTAGGGTAGCCCTTGTATTGTCACGAAGTTGTTGTTTCATTTATCGCGAAGTTGTTTCGTTTATTGCCAAGTTGTTGTTTCATTTATGGAAACCGGAGTAGCTGAATGTTATGGAAACCCTATTATGATGTAATTGTTTGCATTACTCTGGGAAATTTTGAATCGTGGAATGTTTTGCAAGAACTTTTGTGGTGTGTGTTGTTTAGGAAGTACATTGCTTGTGTCATTGTTTAGACAGTAGAATGGCTGAATGTAGTAAGATTAATTTGAAGCTTCTGTACAATTTGGAATGAAAGGGGAAAAGTGCATTAATTGACTGGTGTGTAAATGAAGGTTTATGTAGTAGCCATTTTGGGGACACTCCGGAATGCGTAGGATATTTTTTATTCTTATTTTTGTGAATTTATGTGGCGACGTTGATATACGGATTCTAGTTCAGATAATTCTAGGAAGTTTTTGGATGCTGTTAAAGAATTTTGTAGAGGTAAGTGGATATTTGCCACAGATGTAAGTGGATATTTGTTTGTGTAATGGGATAGAGTAGACTTTAAGGTACCCCTTGTATTATGGCAAAGTTGTTGTTTGATTTATCGCCAAGTTGTTGTTTCATTTATGGTAGCCTGAGTAGTTGAATGTTATGGAAACCCTATTGTGATGTAATCAGGTGCATGATTCTGGGAAATTTTGAATCATGGGATGTTTTGTAAGCATTTTTGTGGTGTGTGTTAAAACCATTTAAATGGGTTTGTAGGAAGAAAGGTTCAGATGGTCACTATGTGAAGTGTTCAATCAGAAAGAGTACCTGGTTTGAAAAAAGTCATTTGAGTATGATTGATATTTTGATTTTTACGTGGCTCTGGGTGTACAAAGTGAATTCGAAAATCATGGTAAGTGAATGCTTAAATGTATAACATGTTTCCCTTTTTTATGTTATTTTATTGTTTGGTTTAAAAGGTATTTTATTGAGATTACGTATTTTTTGTTTGCTTATATGGTAGACTTTGGTGCTCCTTTGACTTTTTAAGTGAAAATATATCAATGTGTACATGGACAAAGTAAAGGGAGTGCGCAATGGAAGTTTGTGCAATTCTGGGAATTTTTTTTTAAGTGAAAATAGGTCGACGTGTACATGGATAAAGTTAAAAGAGTGCGCAATGCCATTTTTTTTGCAATTCGGAGATTTTTTTTAAGTGAAAATAGGTCGACGTGTATATGGATAAAGTCAAAGGAGTGCGCAATGCCATTTTTCTGCAATTCGGGGTTTTTTTTTTAAGTGAAAATAAGTCGATGTGTACATGAATACCGAATTTGTGCAATTGTTTGTTTTGCTATTTTGGCTTTGTGTAGTGGTGATTTTTGGCGCAAAAATCGCACCGCTTCACAAGACAAAATAATGAGTCAAAGAATTGCACAAAATTGGTATCCATGTACCGCCAAAAATCGGCAGGTTTCGCCAAGGGGTAACCTAAACTATACTTTTACCATGTAATGCTTAAATGCATAATCCTTTTTTATGTTATTTTATTGTTTGGTTTAAAATGTGGTTTTTTGAGATTATGTATTTTTTCTTCACCTCTACTGTAGAATTAAGTGCTCCGTTGACTTTTTAAGTGAAAATATATCGATGTGTACATGGACAAACTCAAGGGAGTGTGCAAAGCCTAGTTTGTGCAATTCTCTGATTTTTTTTTTAAGTGAAAATAGGTTGATATGTACATAAATAAAGTCAAGGGAGTGCGCAATGCCATTTTTGTGCAATTCTGGGATATTTTTTTAAGTGAAAATAGGACGATGTGTACATGGATACCGAGTTTGTGCAATTCATTGTCTTGTTATTTTGGCTTTGTGTAGCGGCAAAAATCTGTATAGAGTATTTAATGCTGTATAGAGTATTTAAACGGCTTTTGCTTTATAGATATTTTTATACTATATACTTTAATTACCTTATTTCTTGTTTAAATGCATATTTTACACATTTTATTTTCATTACTCACCATTTTATGACTTTTAACATTATACACCTGAAAACTAAATATATTACTTAAAATTCTCTTTTCGTATGAAAAAATTGAAAACAGGGATCTACACACAGTCCTACGTTACATTCCTTGCACTCGTAATAACTCATTTGTCGTTTTGGAGGATTTTTCCGCGAATGTGAATGAACGAAGCATCGTCGTCTCATTTTCTTATCAGTCTCTTCTGAACAAAGTTTTGGAAAATGTCTTTCAGTTACTCTTTCAGAATCAATATCAGAATTTCAGAATCAATATCTGAAATATTTTGCATCATTTCTGCTATTTCATGCTCTGTTAAACATTTTCGACGCTTCGACATTGCAACAGTAAAAACAGAAAGAATTCACGTCTAACAAGATCTAATTATTTTCTAAAAACTGAACTGCAAACCGAAATACCCAACGCTTTAGTGCAAATAAAACTTCTCTACTTACAGTAAAGAACTACCACGTGCGAATAAAGTGCGATTTAAAGAGACGTCATAAATCACGCCATTCGGAAACATTTATTTCTCCATTTGTTTATATAATCAAAAACATGTGTATGTGAGTCATGCTTCTCTCATTTCGAGTAGAAGGTCTAATGTACATGTATCTGAAACCATATGGACATACAGTGCCATCTTGTGGCAGAAATTATAGTTTTTCAAACGTTCTAGGACACTGGCACAAATATGTGACAGTTGGTAGTGAACGGGAAAATGCTCTGGCATGCCTGCGTGTCGGCCAGAAGCTGAGTGTGTTCGTTGCTGGCACGTAGACGTGACATTCAGGGCGAAGGGGTTAAAAGCAGCTGCTATTAACTTAAGCTTTTCACCCAGCATTATTTATCAAACAAGTAAACAATTTTCATCTCAGCATATCAAAAAGCACCCTTCTGTTTTTAAGAGATTATAAGAATCCTGGGTATTTTTCCGTTTCGCCAGCGGAAATCTCGCCAAGCAGACTCTATTGGTGACAACACACAGTATACACATAAAAAATGTTGATAAATGTTAGTTTAAAGAATTTTTTGTTTTGAAGGTATAAACATTTTAATGTCGTTTAAAATTTTGTAAGAAAGCCAATAAATAAAGACAATAAAGTTGTAAAAAGATTTTAATTTAAGAATTTACTATCCTTTCATGGTACAACATCCTGATTCGCCGGTTCATATCACGGGAGCCCATGTAATCTCATCTCACGTAAACTACGCTACAAAAATCTAATTCTCTCAGTAATTATCTACATTAATTTCAAGTTAAATCTTAATTTGGAATACAAGTTTAAATGCAAGAATTATTTCAATTCGTACAAATAGTTTACTCAGAAATTATGTAAAACCGCAGTGCTTTACTTCGCTAATGCATTCTCATTAGAATTGATGAATTTAACCCTTGAATTTGCCTGTTCGATATTTTTGCCTTCAGGTGAGCGGTGTGATTGCATCCTAATCGACTTAATTACTGTGAATGGCCTTAGAGAAGAAAATTGAACTATCTAGTAAAAATTCTATGTAATTGTATACCAGTATTGAAAGAAACAATTAATCTGATAAGAAATGGCTCTGACTATGTTTTTTGAAAATGAGGTGTAAAAGGTTACCAGCGAGGATAATCTGTTTGGCATCAATTTTACCATTACTGGCGACTTTATCACCTGCACCGGCAAAATGGAAAAGTACCTGTACTTTAATTTACATTAATCAAACTAACAAAGCCGTAACATTTCATGCTAAGAAACATGAGACATATGTTAGGAAAAAAAGAAACGCGTAAATCTTTGCCCAACAATTGGTCAGAAAACCACGTTTTCCACTGTTCTGCAGCCAAAATTATTTTAAAAATCTTCCATTGGTGAATTAGATTTTCTAGATATGTTTCAGGTTCATGGAAATCATTCAGTTCTAGTTAACGATATCTCAATTCCAAGATAACTTGACTTTCATCATTTTCTTTTCTGCAGCTGAAGAAGAAGCTTCTATACTTAAACCTTCGAAACTAGTTCTGAAAATTTCTGAATATTATATTGATTCTTATTGCTTTAGCTCCTCCAGTAATCCTTATTCAATGTGCTATTGTAACTTAAATTGAAACTGAAGTTTTTATCCAACAATAATGAAAAAATTGCAAACCAAAATTTTTAACCAGTGAATAGAGGAAAAGTAGTATCACAACTTTGGTATTCTTCATATAGTATTAGTATCATATTCTTCACACTCTTCTCTCCCCCCTTTTTTTAATGTCTGCATAATTGTGGGGAGAGGGCATCTATTGAGATGCTGTCTTCCCGCTTTCTATTTTTGCCAACCAATAATGTAAAATATGTTTGTGTATTGCTTTGTTGTATTTTATTTACAAATGATGCATATAATAAAGGTACATGCCAGATGACCAAGACTGCATATGATTGAAAATTGTTTTCCATCATCAGCATCATCAAGGACCGACTCAAAAGTTTTCATTTTATAGGTATCGATACATATAAATGTTGGTAAACATTTGCAAGCATTACTAATATTTTAGGTTTAGGTACCAATGTATTATTTATGAGATAATAGATGTTTATTGCTGAAGAATATTCTTAACAGTAAATTTAATGTTCAATTTATTTTTGCATTTTGAATACTGACCTATACCTTTTTTTAGGAAATCATAGAATTTCCAGTACTGAAGGTGAATGCAAAAACCTTTGAAACTGAGTCTGAATTTCATTCTTATGTTCGACCTGTCATCAATCCCCAGCTTTCCAAATTTTGTATAGAAGTAAGTTGGAAAATGGTATTTATTTTTTAATATGTAGCATTAAATAACTAGATTATTTTCTAAATTTATCTGGATACATCCTTACTATTATGACCTCTATAGTTTAAATGGTGCCATCACCAAGTTTGTGTTTACTTGTGACACATAGTTTGTAGTTGCCATATTTCTGTGACTTCTTTCATTATGGCATAAAAAAGTATTTTCTAGTCTCAAGGACTTTCATCACATAAACTCAGTAAAGTAAGACTCGATGATGATGATCCATGCTGTATTGATTTTAATTTTTGTCACTTAGTGGAGCCTTACAGCTTTTCAACATTTTGTACGTAAGCAGCCATTGTTGGATCAACTAAAAGGAATTTGTGGTTCACTATGAAAAGATGACAGCCAGGTTTTTCCAGTTCCTTTGATTTATACAGTATAAATTCTGAGATCTGCAGTTTTCAGGACTTTGGTGATTCCTGATTTTGATCAAATTAAATCTAGTAAGATGCCATGTAGATATGTTAACATTGGGTTGTATTCTGTAGGTCAGACTGAAAAATGTTATCCTTCCTCCTCTTAGGGCAAGAACAGGTCCAAGTACTTCAAAAATTAAGAATGGCTGAATTTTATGAATTTAGGAGAGGCATTGAGCTGTAGAATTTAAAGGCCTGAAATTTTTAAAACTTAGATAGGTATTGGGCAGCAGAATTTATGACCTGCAAATAGTGCAGCATGTGGCAAAATGCCTAGGATTGACCGTTTTCCCTACCCCAACCACTTAACCCTTTGACTGTGAATTGAAAAAAATTATCCTGTTTTTTATGAAAGTGAATAAAATGTATCATACATAAGGTAAATTTAGCATTTGGGATTTGGCAAACGGTTCAAACCAAAGTCTGGGACACATATGTCCTAATTGTAGTTAATGGTGGGATACATATGTCATATGTCCCACGTGTAGCGATTGACTTACTATAAGTGCACCTATTCTTCTGGAAAACTTTATTATATGAAATATACTTTACGTCATATGGTACAAGGTATTGCTTTCTTTGCATAACCAAACATTACACATTGGGCAACTCCTATTTGTTCTTTCTCTATGTTCATTTGTGTACAACGAGCACAGCGGCATCTTGATTTTTCAGTTATTGGAAGATGATTCCCAACATTCAGGAGATTCTAAGTACTTCTTAACCCAGCAGTAATTTTTGAGCTTTTAGTGGGACATATATATCCTGTTAGTGGTGAAAGGGTGAAAGTGGGATTTTGATGAGCATCAACCAATGTATTGTTATTGGCCAGTGTTGTCACTTGCCTCACCAGCAGGTGTTTCAAAGTGATATGCAAAAATCTCAGTCCAGAGAAAAGTTGTATTCATGGCACACCTTGCATTTATATTATTATATTTTTCATTCCTTGATTTAGTAATGAAGGGGAGATTTTTTTAGCCCAAAGGGCATTAGCTCACAGTGGCATAGTACAAGGTGGATCATCTGTCTCCAGGGGCCACCAAATTGATGTCACAAAATTTTAGAATGCAATGTTTTCCATTCTTGGCAGACAGAAAGGGGCACAAAATCTTCAGTTGTCCCCAGGCGCTGAAAACCATAGCTATGCTTCTGTTAGCCCAGAAGGGCTATTAATTTCGTTTTGACATTTTGCGTTTGTTAGAGAGCGAGATCCGTCAAAAGAATGATGGACTGTAATCAATTATAAAAGTTTATTCATCAATAGAAAGGCACAGAGACCTTAAGGATCAGAGCTGTACGCTCTTGATAGTACCGATGGCTATTACAAAAAGATGGCATAGGAGCCCAAAGGAACAACCGCTTTGTTCATGGTCTACAGAGGTTCTGCTGGTTTGGGGGGCATTGCAGCGCTCTGTAGTAAGATCAATGTTACAACAATAGGATGGGACGGAACATCCCGCCTCGCATTGAAATATTTATATTTCAATACAAGGTAACACTTGTAACATAATAAGGTATAATAATACTATTAAAATGAGATTATCCATTACGACATAGTGCATTCTGGGATATAATAGAATAAAATAGCATAAACATTCATACAGTTACAAAATTGATGATATCTATTATAATATGATTCTACATTAATGAGGTTCATCAAATAGACATAAGTATTATTATTCAATAGGTAGCACGACATATTTTGGGTATGCATCTTTTAAATGTGCCTGTAGAAGTTCTCACTATAACTACTCTAACCTTTCTATCAGGTCCGGTTATAACTTTCTGTATACGACATGTAGCCCATTTACAAGGAGGCAGATTATCTTCCTTGAGTAAAGCAAGGGCATCAAGGTTTACGTTTGTCTTGGCAAATTGCCATTTATTGTTCTGCTGCAAATGGTTAAGGTAGTCTCTGCCACTTTTTCCAAATTGACTGAACCATCTTAGTAGTTTTTTGCCAACAAGGCAGCCTATTTTTTTTTAGATGCTATACGTCAGGTTCTGCCATGGCATTTAATGGGTGCCCAATCAGAAAATGCCCAGGAGTGAGGACTTCGTGATCTGTAATTTCAGAGGATAATGGAGTTAAAGGATGTGAATTCAGAATTCTCTCAATTTGAATAGAAACAGTCAGAAACTCTTCTAGTGTAAGCTTAGCATTGCCAACTGTTCGTTTCAGATGGTGTTTAACCTTCTAAAACCGGGCCGAAATTCTCATAATATAGCCTTCAGACTGGCGCAATCTGAAACAGTTTTGCCCCCTCTTTGACATTTTCCTAATGAGAAAAGTCGTTAGTCCCCCTCCATGGATGAAGTAAAATTTACGTTTGTCAGATGCTTACGTCCCATAGTAGAGGGGTTGCTAGATTTGCAATTTTTTTGATGATTATTTTGCTTTCATTTAAATGAAGTTCTAAATAAATAGTGCATAAATAAATATGCAGTACTGGATGCATATCTAGTGCACAAATTATTTAGAACAAAATGTATGCAATGTTTATATTTCACTCACTATTTCTAATCAATCTCGTAAATAATTTGTGAATTTTTTAACTTTGTTTTCACTCTTCATTTATATTCCCATATTTTCGTATCAGAAATTAGAAAGCGAGAACAAAATTTAACAAAATATACCGTATTTACGCGAATCTAATGCGCATCGTTTTTGGCCAAATGTATTCAAAATTGGGGTGCGCATTAGATTCGATGGCGCATTAGCATTACCGTATTTATGCGAATCTAATGCGCCATCGAATCTAATGTGCACCCCAATTTTGAATACTACATTTGGCCAAAAACGATGCGCCAAAAACTGAATGAATGAAAATCACAAAAACTATTATGCATACAATTGTCTCTTATTTATCTCCTGATTGCTTACATAATAGAATTGCTTACATAATAGAAGCACTTTGAAAATAGAAGCACTTTGACAAAATTGCTTACATAATAGAAGCACTTTGAAAGAGTTAACAGTTCTTAAGGGTTTTATGCTCTCCCCCCAAAAATGTCAAAATAAAATCTTATTATTCATAAGTACGAAAAGGAAGTAAACAATAAAAGCGGTTTTACCTATTTTCTAGAAGAGCATTAAATCTGAAATATTAATCTATTCTTATTTGTTATGATTAAAAAACATTAAATATGGTAAGCTTAAAGAGCGTGCAAAATCGCTGACGTTTTAATCATAGCAAAAGTCAGTACTAAAAAAATTAGCATTAAAATTATGAGACAGATTGAAAAAGAGATGGCCTCTATTTGATTTTCAAGTATATTGGCACGAGACGAAACCTGCAGTTTTTGCCAAAATGTAGCCAAACTGATAAGAAGAAGGAAATAATGTGTAGCCAGCGGCTACTCTGAGCAGCGACAATGGACCACCCAGAGATCTACAGATAGGCGATTCTCTAAAATGGGGAGGGCATGGATGGTATGACAGTTGTACCAATGCCGGCGTCTGAGAAAGTCATTCTCCTGATACAACTGCTGTACCAGCCGGCTTCAGAAAGTTAAACAATTTAATGCCTGTCTCCCAGAGTCCTCCAAAATTAGGGGCTCTGGTGGAAGAAACTTCCAAGTAATGTCTTCTGAAGCTAAATAGCTAACTACTCCAAATTCTGACTGTTTTACTAACTTTTCCAACTGTTGTAATTCCGAATGTGCCCCTACAAAATTCATTGCATTGTCTGAGAAAATGGTTGAACATTTACCCCATTGGGCAAAATATCGTTTTAAGCTGGCAATCAAAGACTCAGAAGTAAGGTCTGTCAGAAATTCAAAATGAACAGCTTTAGTAGCCAAAGATAAAAATACAAATATGCAAAATGCCCTATTTCTGCCCCTTATATTTGAGTTGAAAAGGACCGCAAAGGTCAATGCCCATATTGGTAAATGGCAGGCTTGGTGATACTCTTTCAGCCGGAAGATTACTCATTAATTGAGTTACTGCAGTGGGATGCATTTTAAAGCAAGTTAGGCATTCATGAACCACCTTTCAAGCTAAGTTGCGGCCATTGATAGGCCAAAGCTGACGTACACTATGTAAAAGAGACTGCAGCCCTACATGTAAATCTCTTTTGTAAAAGTATTCCATTATGAGCTTTGTGAATCGACTGTCTGGTAGGAGGACGATGGGATATTTTTGATTGTAATTCAAGTTGGAGCTACTTAAACGGCCTCCTACACATATTAAAACTTTCTTATCCAAGAAGGAATTAAGAGATTTTAACTTGTTGTTACTCTTGTTTAACTTACTCTGGCATTGTAAATAAATCTAAAAACAAAGCTTAAAATTCTAATGAGTTTCATATAATTATTAGTCCTGTTCATAAGTTCATTTAGCATATCATTACTTGTTGAAATAGCTAAAGTCGTAGTCACAGGAGTTTTCAATTCATTTAGATATCGGTCATCTGCAGGGCTCACAAATGTTTTAGTCATAGGTACACACACTTCCTTAAGTAGAAAAAATGGTTCGTGCCACCACATGTTATTTGATGCTATTTCTTCTGGATTTAGACTTCGGGAAATTAAATTCGCTGGATTGTCTTTTGAGGAAATTTGTTTCCATATAAAGTTTTCCGTGAGATCTTCTATTTTGGTTACTCTGTTACCTACAAACGTTTTGAGTGAATGAGGAGATGTGGCAATCCAGGCTAATGCGATCATTGAGCCTGACCACAGGAATACTTCACTGATATCTAATTTCAGCGCGGAGAAAACCTTCTTCACCAGTTGTGCTAGAAGGAGACATGCACACAGTTCGAGTCTTGGTACAGAGATTTTCTTTAACCCTTTCCGGCACGCTACCTTTTAAAGTTGGAATTTTGATAAAAAAAAAATCTAATGTGTACACCACATGACTTCCTTGTACGGAATATTAAATTATATGCATTTTTTTCTTGCATTTCATTAAAACTTATTGGATGAATTAAATCTACTTCGCCGACAGCGCATAAACCACAATAGAATAAATGCATTCTTTAAAATTCACTCTAGTATTTGTTTACCATAGTGACACTCTGGCGCTAGATTCACTTAGCAGTATTATATTTCGTTCATATTATAACTCATAATGCAAAACATTTATATCATTTCAAGAATAGAATTATCTAATCGTTGCCACATGTTCTATTCAAATACTATAATAAAGCTAGAATGATGTATAAAAGAAATTAAGCAAATAAAACAAAAAAAAAACAGTTTTTCACAGACGATTGAGTATTTCTCATTCAATTAATTCAGTTCTCACTTCGCGAGAAGGCAAAAATACATAAAAACTCAAAATGTCTATATTAAAAATTGCGAGGTAAATCTTAAACACTTATTTCCTCGAAAAAATTCCAGAAAGGATTAAGCATGATTTAAATGGCAATAATAAATGAAGGCGTTATCTTTGTTGTTGCGAAGCTAAGTCTCTCTAGATTGGCAACAAATCCACTAGTCTGCTGTATCAAATGTAAACAATAAATGGCCGCCATAAAAAAAGGCTTAGCGGCACTTAAACAACTTTAAAATTGTTGATAATTCTAAAAATATTGCATACAGTTTTACTAAAGGCATAAAAGCCTTAACCGGAAGATAAAAACAACATAATTCAATCATTTTTAAAGCAAAAAATGTAAAATTTACAAACATATAAGAGTAAAGAAACTGAGATCACTGAGCCGGGTAGCAGAGCGGATATATATATAAATATATTTATATATGTTTGGTGCGACCAATTGCAACCAAAATACGAGGTGCACATTTACATATTATAGCAGTGCTATATACAACATTTCAACATTCTGAGGCTACTCGTTTTTTAGTTATGCGAAATACGTATGTATGTATGTATGCACGTACGTACATACGTTCGTCCAGACGCCACGAAAAATTCTCTTCAGGATTAATTTTAAAGCAGTTTTATAATTTTTTTTTGAGGAAACGAGTCTTTTATTCTGTCCTTACGTACAGATATCATGAAAAAACATGGTTAAATTGCATTCAATAGCGGCCAAAATGGATATTTTCGTTGAAATATGCTGCCTGAAACTTTTCGTGATTACAATACTTCCTTTTTACTTCATACAAGGAAGTAAAAAAAAGGTAGGCAGGCCCAGAGGAGTACACAAGTAAAATTTTGTGAAGATAGCACTTATCGTTTTAATTCTGTTGGTGTGCCCAAAGTGCGCACACTGATTGAATAGAGCTTCGAAAAGAGTGCTGAAACGAGCATTGTTGTCAATGAACTGACCGATGAGATCCAGAGAAACAAAGAATACAGACTCTCAGTTGTCCTTGATCGGTGAGCCCGGTTTGGGCACACCTAGGGTTTGCCGTTTGATTTTAGGCAAGATTTCAAGGTAAAAATTTAAAACTAATTTAGAATAAGGAGATTAGCATACAGCCAAAAAAATAACCTTGAAATTTCTTTTCAAACAATTCTCTTTATACCCTAAAAAAAATCTGGAAGATTTCTTTGAAAAATGAGGGTTTTAAAAAACTAAACATGGCTAAAATATATGAACTGGTTTGTGTTGAGCTGCCGTCTACTATAAATAAAGAAGGTTCAGAGTAACCTATACTAACCTATAAATCCTTTTTCATTCAATTTTTCCGTGTGAACAGAAGGAAATTTTTAGGTGTGTCCAGACCGGACACACTGTGCCCCAAAGAATTAATGGTGATACTCTGGATTTACTATACAACAGTTGGCCAGAGCACTTTTCACTAGATATTGATTGAAGCTACAGAACCGCTCTAAATGCTATTTCAGAAGCGTCAGCAAACACTTGGAGCACAATTGTAGTATTCGGGTTCACAGCACTCTAGGAATGCAAAGCTTCTCGATTTTGGTAAGTGCAGAAACAAAATGTGTCCATTCCTTAGCTAAAGATTCAGGAAGATGCTCATGCCAATCAATGTTGACAAGCCATAACGATTGCATGAAGGTTTTAGCTCTTGTGATTACTGGCCCAATTAAGCCCAAAGGATTGTATATGCGGACGATATCTGATAAGACTTCCCTTTTCGTATAAGTAAGAAGGGAACTGAGGGTGACGTTATAGGAAAAGGCATCATCTGCTGTATTTCATTTGATACCTAAAGCCTTGACAGTTCTTTTATCATCCTGGAAAGGCAAAATTCTGCTCCGTAGAGATATCAGCGTAGAGTTTTGGTTTATTAAAACATCACTTGTGTAAATTCATCTTTCCTCGTTGTAACATCGTTGTCAACTCAGAAAACAATTTTGCTACTTGACTTAGCTCTGATCCTCCAGAGAGGATGTCATCCATGTAAAAGTCAGTTAAAGTAACAGAAGACGCAAAGGGGGGGAGCTTTCCGCCTTATCATAAGCTAGTTGATATAAAGTTCTGGTTGCCAAATAAGGAGCACACACAGTTCCATACATTACAGTCTTAAGCGCATAACATCTGCTAGGTTCATTTATGCCTGTCTTCCACAGAATTCTTTGGAGATCAAGTTGAGAAGGATCGATTTCAATTTGGCAATACATCTTTTCAATGTTCGCAGTAAATGCATATACATGCTTTCTAAAATGCAGCATAGAAGATGATAAACTCCCACCTAGTAAGGAACTGCAATTCTGTGAAGAACATTACGCAAAAACCCATAGCAGAAAATCGTATGGACATTATGTAGTAAAGATGCCTGTAAAAACTGATGATAAAGAAAATATAACACCTGGAAGTTCTAAGGAAATCGCGTCAAAACGCTTAGATCACTTTGTGGATTGTTTGGAATTGTTTGGAACGCCAACCACAAATGAAGAAGCTGTATACTCAATTTTTCAAAGAATATGAACAGCTAAATCACATGACGGAAATTGAAACTGAAACTTAGGCGGCCTATTACTTACCTCACCATGGGGTTTATATACCGGAAAAGAGTAGCACTAAACTTTGGGTGGTTTTTAATGCTAGCTGTAAAACAACAAATGGACGATCATTAAATGATATTTCACTAAAATGTGGCACAATCTAAGATGATTTATTTTCAATTATGTTTCATCAAAGATTCGTAAGTGTCATCTGTTATTTCAATTTGATTTGCTTTGTCTTTTAAAGGTGCACGTAAATAAAAAGAACCTTTTGAAAGTTTGATAAATGAGGATTATTAGAAATAAGATTTTGAAATGCAATTTTAAACGCATTAAAATCTTCATAATGACCGGAAAATTCTGGTAACGGTATTTGTGGCAATAGAATTTTGACTAATTTCGACCTTGCTGTATTAACCGCTTTCTCTGCATTTAATGTACCATCTGATAATTCTGATAATGAAGAAATGAGGTTTAAAAGACTTACCTCATTTTTGTCTATTCTTGAGTCCATATCTGCAAGATCCTCATCTATTTCTTGTAACTCTTCGTCTTTAGCTTCTCGATAAAATTGGTTCCGCAGATCTTCTTAGTGGATTTCCTCATGCAAATGCAATTCAATTTAATACTTATTTCCACTGCTGAAGGTGGCACGTCCAAGATAAAAGTTTCTACTTGTGTGATTTTCGTTTTCAAAGAAGCTTTCTGTCTTTTAAGATATGCTAACATCATTTTAATCCGCTCTCCAGGTCGTTAAGAACCGAATGTTAGAAAGTGAGATCTGTCGAAAGAATGATGGACTGTAATCAATTATAAAAGCTTATTCATCAATTATTCAGAAAGGCACAGGGACCTTAAAGATCAGAGCTGTACGCTCTTGCTAGCACTGATGGCTATTACAAAAAGATTGCGTAGGAGCTAATTCAGTTTGAAAATTTGCCATTCGAGTAACACATAAGAAGGCTCCTGAACTCTTGACTAGAGAGACCTAGAATGCTCCTGAACTCTCGACTAGAGAGTCTCTCGTTAGCATACTCCTCGCACTACGAGGTCTATAATTCACTTCAATAGCTGTCTATGCTATACATGAGTATACATATGTAAAGAGCTTCTTGTAATTGTAATAAATGTTTTGAGTTCAATAATGCAGTAAGTATCATGTAACCTCACAATTGTACCCAATCATTACAAGTTGTTTCAGTTGTTAGCGAAGAAAAATATTAATTAGCACTTATTTAATTATTTTTTAAAATGTTGAAGGACCAAAGTGGTAGATAACTGTGCAAAATGATATTGAAAAACATAAATTAATTTCTTTTAAGCCTTTATTTGTTTTGATATGAACACTTTTGTGTTTTGTCAGAAAATTCAATTGTCAAAGCTTGAAAGACCATACTTGTGGATTCTAAAAAATCATTTTAATTGTTTTGGAAGAACTCTTTCTCCCCTTCTTCCATCGCAAAAAATGTAATGAAACATATGTAAGGTAATTAACTCTTAATGAATGGAAACTATTATATTATATATGACATTGTTCATTAAACATTTAATATTGCATTATGCATATGAATTAGCTATTGATTTTGATGTTTTTAATTTTCAGCTAACAGGCATCACACAAGAAATTGTAGATAACAGTCTAGTATTTGAAGATGTGTTTCAGGTAATCATTACTTTAGTTTACAGTACCCATTATTTATTGCTAGTGTTCTAAAACATCTTTTTTCTTATTGCCATAAGTATTTTATGAATGGCTTGAAATTCTATGAAATTAATTAAAAATTGTGTATTATGTGTTTTTTCCGAAGTACAGTTTTAAGACTTTTGTGATTACTCTGTAACAGTACAATGTTTAAAGACTGTAGTGATCATAATAGTATGTGATATTAATAGTATGAAGTTCTAGTTATATTAAGGCCAAATTCAGCATTGTAATTTTACAGTAGTTTGATCATAACACATCTTATGCAGAAAATGACTAAAATCATTTTATGCATATTTTTTTATTAAAGCACAGGAAATGACTAAATTAATTTTGTGCAGATTGTTATCAAAGCACAGGAGACGACAAAATTCATTTTCTCTGAATTATTGCTAGGATTTTTGAAGACAAATGATTTTTTACCAGGACATATTTTACAGTAAATTCCTAAAAATGACCATGATAGAATAGAACAGACTGAAACTACTTTCATCTGAGAATATTATGCAAGCCCAGTCCAAGTGCAATGCTCACACCATTGCAAATGGGTGGTCCAGTGCTATTTGAACAATGGAACATTCACAACAGATCTACGAGCGTATAGTCCTTCTTCTCCCAAATGTCTGGCTATAGTTTTGGGGAGATCTGCTATCCTCTAGCAGCAAGAAACTCATTTATCACCAGCTGAGCTGGGATGCTTTGGTTTCTTTTTGCCTATAGGACAGTATACCTGTTTCCTGCAGGTGTCCATCAATGCTATGTACACCATCAACATCTGGCATTGAAAAAAAAAAAAAAAAAAAAAAGAAAGAAAGAATGCAACACAGTTCAATTCTCCAAGGAGACTTTCCATGGACATGAGGAAACACACATTAGCATTAGGAAAAATCCATCATGGAAATTAGGAAAAATAAAAATACTTTGTGACTATGTTGTATGTACGCTGTCAAGAAAATGCACATTATATCTATCAATTTTGCAATGTACCTTTGCACAAAGGAAAGTGTTTTGAAAGATATCACTCAAAATATTAAATTTTTTATGTTTGAGAAATAGTTTAATTTTTTTAACATTTTAATTGTTGATGGTTTCTCCAAGAAGCAGAAGTAATCTTATGCACCGATTGCAAATAATTGCCAACTATATGAGTGTTTAAGATATGTACACCTGCTTAAGGTGTGTTAAAATGTACAAAATAACAAATTCTGCGTGTGATTTTCTGCACAATTCATGCTTTTCTAAATGTTACTCAGTATGTTGTGAAGAAAACTGATGTATATTTAGCTTATTCTCGATATCTGTAAGGATAGATGTATGCAAAGATATCTTGATGGATATCTTTAGCTGATTCTTGCTATATAGATAAAGCTTCTTTTTAAATCATTTTATTTGATTTTTTTTTAACAGTGTGATATATTGTGGAAAAGTTGGTGATATGCAAAGCTGCAAGACAGTTTTTGTCTTCACAATGGCTTTCATTTTTTTTTAACAAAATTTTTTCTTTTGCAATAAGGATGCAGATTATATGAATAGCTGTGTAATTATGTAAATATTTGATCTGTATGTTGCAATAAATTAAATTTCTGTTTAATCACTCAGTAGATGATTTATTTAATTTCCCTACTTTATATTTTCCCTACTTTTATTATTTCTGTGTTATTTATTGATGTAATTGGCAAAAAAATGAACTTGCTTTCTTTCCATTGTCTGATGTCTTAAATGTTTGTCTTCCTCATTTTCAGTTCAGATCATTGCCTAAATTTAATACTTCATTTCAAGGCAGTTCAGGCATTTTACAATATTATGAGAATTTTATAAATGATGAAGTAGTGGATATAATTGTAAAAAAGACTAATTGTTATGCTGAGCAATCATGTAATATTGTTGGTAAAAGAAAACTGAAAGGCAGAAGAGAATGGTAACAATACTGTATCACCTTAGGTAATTATTATACTTCACTAGAATTATGTGCTATCCATTTGACTTACCAAATAGATGTCATTGGAACTGTAAGACAAAACAAAAAGGATTAACCTTTAGAAATAGAAAATTTAAATCTGATGAAGTTATTTCATTAAGATGTAGAAAAATCCTTGCTCTGAAATGGAAGGACAAAAAGGAAGTAACAATGTAATCATCTTTTCATGATTCTGAAAATGTTGAGGCAATGTTAAAAAGTTAAAAATTAAAAACAAAATCAAAGGTTGTAATTGACTATAATAAACCAATGGGAGGTATGGACCTTGTAGATCAATACCTTTCTAGTTATAAAGTAGCCAGATGTGGTGGGAAAAAATATTATAAAAAAAGTATTCTTTCGCCTTTTAGACTAAGTTGTTTTTCAATGCTTTTCAAGTTTATAAAAAAAGAAGTTTGGAAAAAATAACATAAAATTTAGATAGGATTTAGATAATGAAATAATTGATAAATATCACTTTTATCCATATTTCAAGGTGAGGTCATCCATTGAATGAAGCATTGTCAAGTTGTTTATTTGAATGCCCAGTTTTTGAAACTTATACCACCTACAGAGAAAAAAGAAAATCCTGCCAGAGAATGTAAAGTGCATTCATAAGAAGAAGGCAAGTGGAAAACTAATTAGGAGAGAAACAGGGTATTATTGCAAAGACTGTAGTATAGGACCCTGCATACCATGTTTCAAACTATCACACACAGAAATTTTTATAATTTTTGAAAAAATATAGATATTATTGTTGTTGAATAAAAGCATCATAATTTGCAGATAATACTGTCCGTTATTTAAAGCATACATAACTTTTCTGTCTCCAAAAATTACATATATTTCATAAATGCCTGCATTGAAACTTTTCATGATTTTTGAACAAATTTTGTCAAAATTGTGTGACAGGTAAGGAGTTAAATTATTAACTCTCTTTTTTCTTCTTAATGTCCCTTTATGTAGAAAGTTTTTCTGCTTTTCATCAGTAAAAAGATTTAATAAATACTTGATCAGTTATGAATTTATCAACCATTCAATTTACAGCTAAAACTGAATCTCTCAACTCCCATTGATTGACATATTAAATATCTGTAACAAAATTTAAATACTACTACTTCTTCAACTGCACTACAGCCTATTACAGGCCAAGGCCATCTCAACAAGCTTCCTCCAATGGATCTGATAGTCACTATGGTCCTCTAACAATTGATTTTTAAAGTCTTGAGATCTGCCTCCACACAGTCTGTCCATCCTGTGCAAGGTTACTACTATTTATCACAAACCTTTTTCTGTTTGTCTTCTTGCCCATGGCAGATCTTGTCTTTCTGCTGGGAAAAAAAATTACTTCATTTCATTCATATTTTAAAATTTTTGTTTCCTTATAATCATCTAGGCTTTGCAAATTTTTTCTTATTCAAGAATTTGATTATTTGATATCTGTTGCCGTTAATAGCAACTTTTCTTCTATAGTAATTTGTTAAGCCAAATTTACAAAAATTTGCTATTGTCATCATACAAGACATTTTTTTGTTGAAAACACTTATAATAATTTTATTGTTATTTCATTTTTTCTAAAAAAAGAAATAAATTTTCATATTAAGGAATACAAATTCTAGGTTTCCTTTAAAGTCCAAAGGGGTGTTAGCCCAGAAGCGCTGTTAGTTTCAAAACATCATTTTGCGTTGAATCACTTTTCAAATTGTTGCCACCAAATATTGCCCTGTATTATATTTAAATAAATTAAATAATGAAGAATCTGCATGAACGTATGTAAGTTTCTCGCATTATGAAAAAACAAAAGTACCTAGAGTCACCAAATTTTAAATAACATAGTCCTCCACTGTGCCCTGGTCCATATTTAGGTGCCATGGACACCTGGAAGCCCAAATTTGGATTATATATAATATATATCATATTTTGTAAAACTTCAGCAAATTTTTGATTATAAAACTCAACAATTTTAAAGTGAGCAGTAGCAACACTGTAGGGAATAAAACATTTTTATCTCCAGCACACGAGATTGTCTATCAAAAATTCTAAAGATATGCTGTTTTTAAATATTATTAGCCCAAATGCTCTGAAAACATGTATGTGTCTGTAAGTGAAAAAACGCATGGGTGTTATATAAAATCTAAAATTTCTCAGATTTTATTTTGATTTTATTTTTGTTTTGCTCAATAGATTATGCTATGTTAATTTAATCTCTTATCCTGCTTATTCATGGGGGGAGCTTGAAGACAAATGACGTTTGTCATTTGAAGCATCATTGACATTGCTAGTTTTATATAAAATCTGTACTAATCTAGGATTGATTTTTTTTCCAGAATTTATGATTTATGAATTATATTGTAGTAAAAAATGGCCCAAGTCTGTATTTACTAAAACTTGTTGGCGTATTTAAATATACTTGAAAATAAGTTATGTTATAAAATAAATTTCTTCCAACAGTCATGACACTTATGTTTCTTTTGTTTAGGATGAACTGCTTTGTAATTTAGTTATTAGCTAGAAATGTGTATTTTGAGTGCTGCAATAAAAATGATATTTTTTGAAATATTTGTAAAAATATGTAGGTGTTTTGTTACATATTTTTTGGTTATGTAATAGAATGCTGTGATTGTCCGTAACTGATAATGAAATGGTCAATCCAAAAATCATGTTTTATTAGAAGACACTTGAATTTTTGTTTATATTAAATTCTCTGTAAATGAACCTATAATTTTGTATTTAGAAGAAAGAGAAATGACTTTTGTAGCAATTAGTTATAAAAATTGTGATGACTTTAAGTACTGATAAAAATTTCCAATCAGTGATAATTTTAATATTTAAACTACTAAATGCATTAATGATGGCCTTTTAATTCTAGTTTATTTCAAAGAGTTATCTATTTATGTTAAAATTTCAGGTTAATTTGGTATACTAATTGAATATTATATTTTAGTATGCATTAGAAGTACTCTTTAATTTATAGCAATGTTATCATTTTTATTTTTCATTTATAGGACTATCAGAACTGGCTTCATAAAGAAGGTCTTTTGAAACCTGGTGTCAAACTTACATGTGCTACTTGTGGAGACTGGGACTTAAGATTTATGTGAGTGAGTATGCAAATTTTTTTTTTTGGAAATAATAGTTTAAACAATAAACATAATAGATCTTTAGACAAAATTTAACTACGGTTAAGCTTTAATTCTGACTGAAAAATCTGTATGCTTTTTAAAAGACAATAAGATACAGACAGAAGAGTATTTAGTTATAGGATTTAGAGCTCAGTGTTTATATGACTAATCAGCTGAGATATTAATTAAAATTTCTCAAAACACTCATATTTCTGAGTGGCAGCAGTCTTATGTGTTGGAGAAAAAAAATGTTGTACTTTTAAAAGTGTTGCTACTGTTCGTGTCCAAATCGTAGGGTTTGTTAATAAAAAATTTGTAAGTTTCACAGAATCTGTATATATAAAGAAGAATGCCTGTTTGTGCATTTGTTTGCATTGTTGATTTCTGGTCAATTATGATAAATTTTTTGCCACATTTCAGTGGCTAAAATTGAATATAGGGGAAATATTGGATGGAATTTGAGCTTTTATGCCCATTTTAATTAGCAAGACGAAAATCATTAAAAACTGCATGCCATTGTTGCTGATGTAATGAGAGAGAATTAGTTTTTCTATTTAAATTTTTTATGGGTTCTATATTGTGTAAGCATGAAAAATGTATGAGTATGAATAATAATTTTTTCAGCATTATTAGAGAGTGGTATCATTCTCTTTGTTGTTAGATACATTACTCTCAGTCTAACTTCCGCAGGTCAAGAATAAATCCATACTTCATCAGTGCCAAGTGGGAAAATGAAACACCTGTCATTGGGTACCTATACTTTAACTGATTAAATAATTAAACTGCGAATAAAAATTTACAAAACAATTTAGGTTTTAGGATTATTCCGGGGACCATAAAACTCTCCAAGTACTGGGATTTAGCACCAGTTATGGATATGCATGAAGTTACAATATACTCGTAACATCTGTGCTTTCATTTGATATAACCCCGACTGATCCTCAATAAGCTGTGCTTCATTTTCATGGACAAGGATATATATTAACTGTTACTGCTGTATATTTTTCTAAAATAATTTTAAAATTTGAGACCTGCCTTCTACAAAATAGCAAGCAGTGTATTATTTTCAATTATATGGGATCCTATCATCAAAAAATATATATGTATATTAATGAGCATAATGTGGTCAGCAGCATACGGTCAACAAAACAGTAATAGAATGGTACAGTTACATGCATAAAGTTTATACGCATGACATTCTAAACCGAGCTTCTGATAAAATTACAGATATAATAAAATAGTAGAAATTGAGATAGATTTTTTATGAAACACAAAAACAAAGGGGTCAGATACTGATAGTTTACTAAATAAAGAGGCTTGAGTTACAAGTGACAAGATAGAATTCCACAGGAGCAATTGATGCAGTTTTAGCGGGATCTCATCTTACTGTCATGATTCAATAGTAGCCAACTTTCACGGTCAACAGAATAATATGTAAATACCAATTATAATAATTTAATAGTCTTAATGCATTCTTGAGAAATGTTTATAGCATCCAAAATTTTTTACAGGCTGTATTATTTGACAAATAGTAGAAGTAAAGTATCTGTGGCCTAAATAATTCTCATAAATGTCTGAATTTTTTAGATGTACAGTAACCAAATATCTTATGAGAAGATACAATAGTACAATATAATAATACATTTAGTTTTAGGAAAAATCAGGTACTTGGAATAAATGACAGTTAACACCCAGTTAACTGGACCTTGTTTTAAAAAAAGTTAAATTTGTTTATTGTGGAAGGAAAGAAAAAAATCATTGTAACTAATCATCCATACTTAAACAACACATTCTAGAAAAAGTCCAAAATGGAAAAGAAATTTGCCTCAATTATTAGCAATGATAGTATATGATGTCTACTTAATGAACTATACAAAAAAGTTCTAACTGACATTTTCCATGAATTTAACTTTTTATGCTCATTTGAACTTAAGTTTCTTCATTTCTAACAATATTTAATTTTTCATTAATAACAGTGTATTCCTTTTCTTTTGAATACTGATTTAATTTGCATAATCAAATTAACTTATTCTCTTGATCAAACTACTTGAAAGTATAGATGAATTGTTAATGATAATATGGATTATTAGGTTTTCCTATTTTTTTTAAACTTATCCTCAGATTAACCATGAGGATTCCATCCCTAATACTAGTCCTGCTAATCAGAAGTCAAAATTTATTAAAAGAAGGTCTGAATGCCTCTCCTAGAAATGAAGCTAGTCCCTTTCCTGTTTAATACAGCAGTAAATATATATTTTATTCAAGCACTGAATTCCTGAAATTTTTAAAATTTTTTTCTTTCTTCTCTGTATCTCTATCCCTTTCTCGTTTTTTAGTTTATATGTTCTGCTTCACTCACTGCATTTAAGAATTGAAAGTTTTAAATTTAAACATCCGTTCTGTTTACCACTGTTCATTGCGCTTAGCTAGAAAGTCTAGCTTTTGCTGACTGTCATGAAATGTAGTTGCTAGCAGGTGCTCGAATGCTTCAGTGAGAGACAAGATAGGAGATATTTAAGGTCCTCAATTTTATTTTTGTAACAGTTACTCCTAATTATTGTGTTTTGATTGGTACCTGCTGCTGCATGTTTTCTTTATAAATAATATATTTTTGTTACATACGTAGGTTGCCAATGCAATGCAAAGGACTGCGATTACCTGTTCCTGATTTCATGAAAAGATGGATTAATGTGAAAGTGGTAATTAAAATATTTTCTCCTGTTTAATTTTACTTGTATATGATTCCTTGAAAAGTAGAATAGCATAATTCAAACATTAAAACATTGCATTTGTGTAGAAAATTAAAGGAAAGCTGTACAGGAATACCTTGCCTTCCTGTACTATAGTCAACTTTGGACTAACTGGGAACAAATAAACTAGTTCTTGTTTAAACATATTTCGTTAATAATTACTGTAAAATAATTAAATAATGTAAAAATTACTGTAAAAGTGGAATATAGGAAAATTATTATCGTAGGCAAGGTGATGTGAAATTATGGATATTAATAAAATAATTCCAAAGTGATAGAAAAATTACATACAAAGTCTGAGATCTAGAATTGTCAAGGCTTCCATGATTCTTGATTTGGAGATCCAATATTGGATTATGAATCGAAATCTATGTGTAGAATTTATGAAATTAAAAATATGAAAGGTTGTTTGCAAATTAAGTATTTATGATCTCAAAATAATCAAAAGTTTTTAAAAAAGTAAATTTTTTTATGTATGTTTTTTAAGCAGTTTCATTTTTATATGCTAATGCTTTTAATTTTATAGAGAAACATATTTTCTTCTGCAGTTACATAGTTTCATTTCTAAAATTCTATAACTGCCGAATCGAAAATTCTTATTAAGTAATCAAATAAAATCTTTTCATCCTTAATAATCTCTTTAATGCTTTCTTCACAATCAGTGGTAATATTTACTAGGTTAAAATCCATTCTACATGTTTCACTGTCTATTAATTGATTAATAATAGGGCATTGTCACCACAGCCTTCTTCTTTGGTTTGCCATCAAAAGAAAACAGTGTGTGCAACTTTCTACTCCAAGCACAATATTGATCTTTGGGGCTAGATGAGGTAATAAAATGATGCCCCCTCCACAGCCAATCCAGAGCCAAAAATGAAAGTATGATTTTGTAGCTGGCAGATGTTGAATATCAAAATAACATGTAGAATGATTCAACATTATAACAGGTGATGTTTTTCAGAAAGAAAAAAAACACTCTGCTATTTGGAACAAAAATTGATTTATGGCATGCTTGCATTTGCTTGAGTAATGTATTTTCCATTCTTACGTTGTATGAGAAAAAGGAAAAAAATATTTTAAATTACCAGAGGTTCAGGTAATAGATCATTCTGGGTATTAGATACCTTGATTTCAGATTTTATTACGTACTATCACAAACCATCAGCATAAGACAAAACGGCCTATAAAACATACAAAAAGAAAAAATATGGAATAGCAGTAATAAAAAGCAAATTATGACTGTGAGATAAACTCTTCCAAAAATAAAATTCTCAGCAGCTTCTGATGTGAGTTTGAATTCAGTGATATTGTTCTTCAAATTATCTTGCAAAGATTGTTGTTTAATGTCATTTATAACTTCTTGCGTTAGTTCTTTTTGTTTTGAATATTGATTTATTTGCCAGACCAAATGATCTTTTCTTCAAATTTAAATTGCTTGAAAGTACAGATATAAACTTAATAGTATTTTTGTTACTTATAATATGAGTTATTTCTCTTTCTTGTTTTTTCAAGAAACAGACATTCATGTGTGAAATACACTCCTTCAAAATTGCTTCACATCTTAAATAAACACATTTAATTATATACATTATACTACAGATATATGGCAAATATGCATTACACAGCTCATCACACTACATTCTCAAAAACCCATGCCAGTTCTGCCTCAAACTGAAACTTTTTCTCACATGCTTGTGGGGGTGCTACAACGCCCTTTGTGGAAGATCTCAATATACTCCCCACGGATTGCTGTTCAGGTCATCAAACTACCTCTTACATGAAATTATTACTTAATATTATTCTTAGTAAACATATAGTTTCTAGATTAAATAGTTTATGCATATAAATGAGTAATACTTAAGCCTAAAATAACATATAGATGTAAACAATGAATTACACAAAATTAATAATATAACTAATTAATAACATAAAAACTTCAAGAAATCAAAATGAATATCAAGTTAAAGTTCAAAATTTTTCATGATAGTTAACTGTCTATTGGTAGTTCTTCCTTTTATAATGGTTGGGGCAGAGCAGACAAACAATGACTAATGACATCCTAGATATGCTCGATTTGCAAAAGATCAGGGAACATTACAGGCCAAGTAAGCAATGGGACATGCTTGAAGGCTTATCGGCTAATGAATGCCATGTGTCGTTTGTCCTGCTGGAAAATACCACTTTGTAGCCACTAAAAGTAAAATAGCATAATTGGCTTCATCATCTCATCAATGTTCATTGTGCCTTTGATGCGTAACAGAGGTGACCCTGCTATCATGAGTGATGGCATTCCAAACCATTATGCCACACTGATGAGTGGCATGGCATACAACACTAATAGTTAGATTGGCTCAACTGATGTCTTCAGACTCTTAACCGGTGATTATCATCAGACAGACAAAACCAAGACTTGTTGTTGAATACCATATTGTGCCATTCAGATGTTCATGTATCTTGTTGCTGACACCATTGCAGTCTTTCCTGTCAATGCTTTAGCATTTATGGCAGTCTTCACAAAGGTGTCAAGCAGCTTTCAGCTGAATGTAGGGAAACTGTTCTCTTCCAGATATCAGAGAATCCAAAGCTTCCTTCACATTCTGCAAAATATCCACAGTACTCAACTGTGGAGCTGCCATCACTTCTCTTCATATGCATCATTCTGTGCATTTTGTGGTAGCTCTAGATGAACCTGGTCTTTTGCAACTAATTGCATTTCCTTCAGTATTCCATTGAGATGAAGTTCTACACACAGTGGATACATCTACGTGCGTTTCAGCAGCGATATAATGGCAAGACCACCAGCCGAATGTAAGCCTACCATTTGAACTCTTTTAAAATCATCCATTTACTGGAACTGCATATGGTTTCATCGTTAAGGCATATTGTCATTCACACGCATTTTCTGGAACATTGAATTTTTCAAAATTCTCGTGTAAGTAGCATAGAGTGGCGACTGTTGGTTCATCCATCATTTCCTTCGCTTTTATCTTGCACTATTAATCTTGTGACCAACTTGCATTTTACATCATTTGCATGACTTGTTCCATTACATATTCCCCCAAAATTTGCATATTTATACAGCCAGATCATAATGGTGTTGCATTATCTATGTCGACCTGTGTACTTTGAAAAGTACTACTACCTTTCTTAGAAAAATGATGACTGGTACAGGTTTTGCACATATGCCTTTTCAACGTATTCCTGCGGATTCCCTTTATGTTTCACCTATGGACCATTGTGCCTTGGTTTCTTGAAAAGGGCTCCTTCTAAGTACACTGCTCAAAAAAAAAAAAGGGGGGGACAATTCTATATCTCTCGTTCTGCTGGGCTGATTGACAAAATTCAAATTGTGACCTTCATGTCACAAAAGCGCGACTTAGGGCATATATTAGATTTATGTCGTAATTCGCTCCTACAACTCATCTGCCTTTTCCTGCATCTGGCAACCGCATCAGCAGCTAGAGGATTCTCGAAGCTGGGTGATAAGTTGACTTCTCCACTTGTGCGCATGAGAGATGCTGCGACAGCAACGTGGTGAACGGATCCTAAAAACTATTACGTAGTAGCGTAGTAGTTAAGAGACTTTCAAACATCCCCATTTGGTGTGAGGATTACCAATATTGTGATGCCACCCTATGCTATGGAGCTAAATTTTTATCTTACTTCTTTTCATCTTTCTATGTTTCTTTTTTTTCTTCATTAAAATACTAAATCTTAATATTGGTGTCATTCTTAAAGTAAAGTGGAAAGACACCCACATGGGGGCTCGGCCCCGCGAACTCTTTCGACTCCTTGAACTAAAATCTGTTCTTCTCTTCAGCTTTTTAAATCCCCTAGACTACCATATTACATATCGAATATTCCTATAAATGATGTACTACTGTGGAATAATATCGCAAGATCCCAGTTGTTGTGATTCGTCAGCACGTAAGTAGAGCTAATTTTATTTGATGAAGTAATACTAATGAGGAAGTAATATTCTTTCAAGTTATTTTGAATATTTGATGACGCCTTTTTATGAAGTTTATTTGACGAAGCGAAAGGCATTTGATTTTGATGAAAATTCATTTTATTTTTGAATGATTATTACTTTGAAGAATTAACACTTCCGTTTTCAAATTTAATGTTGATGATAATTAATTAAACAGTGTTGATGAAGTTTAATTGAATAAGCTACAGGTATTTGACTTTAATGAAAATCCATTACTGATTATTTACTGAATTGTGATGTATTAAAAAAGTTACTTTGAAGAATTACTTTCGTTTTCGAATTTGATGCATAAATTTCTTATTTCTTGTGATGCCCATATTTTACAAGGACTGTACAATATTAATCGAAGTTATTAATTTTGATATCATATCTTAACGTGAAATTATATTTTCCATTCTTAACATAGTCTTATATGAAAATTTGTTTGACGATATATTTTACCATTTGTTTGAATCATATGTTCACAATTTCATTTATGATTTTTGAGTGTTTTAACATCATAGTTATTGTGTAATGTACTAAGAAGAATTAATATTTTTGTGAAGAATAAGAAAAATTAAGAATATATTTTGGTATGCTAATTTCTGATAAATATTTAATACCAGATAAATATTTGACGAAATCGAAACATACATATTTTGTGGAATTTCATATTTGGTTAAAACAAAACTGATAAATAATGGCTACACTTAACGATTATCCCAACATTGCACAGTCATTAAAAACCGCCAGTTCTAAGCATATCAAGCTTTTACATCGTTTAGTTTTTGGCTCAGATGGTGATCGGCAAAATCGTGCTAGGTTACGCAATTTTTCTGGTTTTCCCAAACCATTTAACTTTGAAGATACGAAACAAAAAATTATCGAAGAGTTTTCTCTTGCGGAATTAATTGCCATATGTAACTTACTATATTTAGAATTTTCCACCGATATTGAAAACGGTGCTAACAATATTCTT